ATGACGTCACAATTTGAAATTCAGAAGAAACCAAGAAAATTTGATGTCATAATAAAATTTTGACCAATCAATTGCCGAGAACAGTTATTTCACTAGTGAGGAAAATAATTTTTTCACAATTGGTTGGGAAATGTGAAAATAGTGAAAAAATTAGATAAACTTTATTATGCAAATCATGGCACCCATTACTGAGCAGAATAACAATTTAAAAAAAACCAATATACAATTATATAAAATATATTTTGAACTAAATAGAATAACAAAATAATTGGTTATCAATGATTAGTACATATGATTATTATAAAGTAGGTTTACTACAAATTCAATGAAGAAAATAAAACAATAAAATAATGTAATGATCTACAAATTTGTAAAGAACACACTGTAACTTAGACCAAGTCAGTCATGAATCTAGGAGTTATTATAATTATAACTGCGGAACTGTAGTTCATAGGCCCTTATGATATTTTCTGACAATTTGCTGGGGTCCACAAATTGTCAAAAAGTATCATATTAAGGGAATTTGATCTACGGTTCTGCAGCTATTATAATAATTATTATTATACCCCACGCAACGGGTTGCGGAGGGTATAATGTTTTTGACCCGTCCGTCCGTCAGTCCTGTTTCTTGTCATTGCAACTCCTCTTATACCACCCAACAGAATTTCACGAAACCTTTTTAGATAATAAGGACATACTATGTAGTTGTGCATATCGACAAGAAATTGCGTTTCAATTTTTTTTCTAGGAGTTACGCCCCTTTGAACTTATTTACTTTAATGTACTACTGCTACAGTTTGTCATCGCAACTCCTCTCAAACCACACAACAGAATTTCATGAAACCTTTTCAGATAATAAGGACATACTACGTAGATGTGCATATCAACAGGAAATTACGATTCAATTTTTTTTCCAGGAGTTATGCCCCTTTGAACTTATTTGCCCAATATACTACCGTCCGTCAGTCCTCTTTCTTGTCATCGCAACTCCTCTCAAACCACCCAACAGAATTTCACGAAACCTTTTTAGATAATAAGGACATACTATGTAGTTGTGCATATCGACAGGAAATTGCGTTTCATTTTTTTTCTAGGAGTTACGCCCCTTAGAACTTATTTACTTTAATGTACTACTGCAACAGTTTGTCATCGCAACTCCTCTCAAACCACACAACAGAATTTCATGAAACCTTTTCAGATAATAAGGACATACTACGTAGATGTGCATATCGACAGGAAATTACGATTCAATTATTTTCCCAGGAGTTACGCCCCTTTGAACTTATTTGCCCAATATACTACTGCAACCTTTTGTCATCGCAACTCCTCTCAAACCACACATTAGAATTTCATGAAACCTTTTCAGATAATAAGGACATACTACGTAGATGTGCATATCGACAGGAAATTACGATTCAATTTTTTTTCCAGGAGTTACGCCCCTTTGAACTTATTTGCCCAATATACTACTGCAACCTTTTGTCATTGCAACTCCTCTCAAACCACACAGCAGAATTTCATGAAACTGTGTAGATAATAAGGACATACTATGTAGATGTGCATATTGACAGGAAATTATGATTCAATTTTTTTTTCTGATACAATTTTTTTTTTTTACACTTATTTTATTTCTCCAATGACAATGTGGGGACGTGGGGTATGTGAGCACGCTCACTAAGGTTCTTTCATTATTATCATTAATATTATTATTATCTTTTAGAAAATATTATCTTTCAGTTCTTGTATTGTTTTAATAGATCTTTAAGCAGCTGCTGAAGGATCTCAATAATACAACTCTTCTCATTCATCATTAACCAGATGAATTTGTCAAACTATTAAAATTTTTATATTTGGATTTAATTTTATTAAAGTGATGTAACACTTTTGTTATAAGACATGTAAGATGGACATTTCAAAAGGTAGTGTAATTCATCATGTACAGCATTACAGTATAACTTACAAATACGTTTGTTTGCCTCTTCTCAATTGTATCTGCCTGTTTCAAATTTTAATGAATGGTCACTAATTCGAAATTTAGACAAAAACCATATTTCCAGTGATCAGATAAGGTTTAAATTCAAAATTTAATTTAGATTTTACATAGGTTCTCAAAATGTTATTACAGTTTGATTTTTGTCGAGCCTTCCACTTTAGTCGGAAAAGCGAGACATAGTGATCCTACATTCCGTCGGCGTCGTCGTTGTCGTCAGCGGCGTCCACAAATATTCACTCTGTGGTTAAAGTTTTTGAAATTTTAATAACTTTCTTAAACTATCCAGGATATCTACCAAACTTGGACAGAAGCGTGTTTATGATCATAAGATAGTATCCAGAAGTAAATTTTGTAAAAATAAAATTCCATTTTCCCGTATTTTACTTATAAATGGACTTAGTTTTTCTGCCGGGAAATATTACATTCACTCTGTGGTTAAAGTTTTTAAAATTTTAATAACTTTCTTAAACTATCCTGGGTTTCTACCAAACTTGGACAGAAGCTTGTTTATGATCATAAGATAGTATCCAGAAGTAAATTTTGTAAAAAAAAAAAATCCATTTGTTCCTTATTTTACTTTTAAATGGACTTAGATTTTCTGCCAGGAAACAACACATTCACTCTGTGGTTAAAGTTTTTAAAATTTTAATAACTTCCTTATACTATTTTGGATTTATACCAAACTTGGACAGAAGCTTGTTTATGATCAAAAGCTAGTATCTAGAAGGAAATTTTGTAAAAAAATAAATCCATTTTTTCCGTATTTTACTTTTAAATGGACTTAGATTTTCTGCCAGGAAACAACACATTCACTCTGTGGTTAAAGTTTTTAAAATTTTAATAACTTTCTTATACTATTTTGGATTTGTACCAAACTTGGACAGAAGCTTGTTTATGATCAAATGCTAGTATCTAGAAGGAAATTTTGTTTTCTTCCAGTTAACATTACATTCAGTCTGCAGTTAAAGTTTTTAAACATTTATTAGATTCATAAACTATCCTGGATTTTTACCAAACTTGGACAGAAGCTTCTTACAATCAAAAGATAGTATCAAAAGGAATATTTTTATTGATTTACTTCCTCATTTTTGTTGAGCCTGAGATTAACAGAAAAAGTAGGCGAGACACTGGGTTCCGCGGAACCCTTACAAATTTTTTTCTTTCATCATTGAATAAGTTAATTTTCCAGATTTTTATGAATTTGTGGATTAGGTTTTGTTGAACTTTCCTGATAATATAAATGTGATTACTGGCATTCAAATTCTCATAGTTTTTAAGAAATGATCCTAATTTCAAATTTTTAAGAACTTCTTGAATACCCTCATACCATGAATCTTATTTTAACAATGCCATATTTTTTTATGAAGTATATGCCACTAACAGAATAGAGTCATTTTGATTCACATTTTCAACCATGTGGCACCAATATTTAACACAATTTAATGATACAGAATAAATAATATGGAAACTGCCAACTTCTCTTCTGCATGGGTCATTTGAAGATTTATCTCTTGACTCCTAAAATATATTTACAAAATTTTGTATGGTTTTCTCTAAAATCTTAACTAGGTTTTTAATTTCTTTATCAATATAATTTTTGTATACATGTATTATTTGTGTGTTTAGTAGAAGAAAAATCTAGTGATATGATTGAAAATATGTAATATTGTTTTTGCAATAGCAGAGGTATGTGTGAAAATGTTTCTTAATATAAAAATAAGGAGATGTGGTATGATTGGTAATGAAACAACTATCCACCAAAGTTCAAATGAAGTGGATGTAAGCAAGTATAGGCAACTGTATGGCCTTCAACAATGAGAAAAACACATACTGTATAGTTGGCTTTGAGTCAACTTTAAAAAGCTTTCCTTCCTTTGTTAAGTAACTCTTTGTCTGCTGCAGAAAAAATACCAGAAGCTGTAAATATCACACCTAAATATTTGTAGTGTTGTACATTTTTGATATTTTCATTTTCATATCTTATTTGGGCATCTTTTTTTCTACTCTCTTTGTTAAAAACTATAGAAACTGAGTGGTACGAAAAAGGAAAAAAAAAAAAACAGTTAGTGCCCCTGAAAAGAGAAGAAAGATTATGCTCTCATTTTTCACTTAGCATATACATTTGAAGCTTGAATGTCCACTCTATGCTGATCAATGGCAAAAAAATTACTAATTTAATTGGTCAGTTAAGCCAAAACTATTTATTATTGAACAATTGGGAAAAGTTTGATTGGGTTTTGTATGATGAAGACAAAACCATGTTATATGTATATCTTTTCAAATTGTATACAAACAAACTATTGTTCCTTTGCTAATTGTGTCTTTTTGCTGTGCATGTACTGATTTTGTGTCATGGATGGATACCCCATATCCTTTGTTTTTCTAATATATATATACAATTGAATAAGAAACAAAGATATCCAATAGTATATGTTTTAATACAAATTATGTTTGTAAACATTTGTGCTCTGACTTCATACTAAGGATTTGAACTCAGACTGTACGTAAATCCTTCAACATAATATTGTTCTCATATCTTGTGTCTGTGAGAATATAGTCCATCTGATTTCTATCTTATATTTATAATTCTATCTTATTATATATTATCTGATTGCCCCACAAAGGCTCTGAATTGGAAATAAAATATAGGTAAGTTTAATGAAGTTATACATGTAGATCCATTTTATGTATAGCCAAATAAGAAAATAACTCCCGACTAAGAAATGGATCAATATCCCACAAACTTCAATCTTGCTGTATAATATGGAGTCCCTATATACTGTTCATGTATTTGTGCCATCTATATTATACAAGTCTTTATATATGTAAATAAGAAGATGTGGTGTAAGTGCCAATGAGACAACTCTCCATCCAAGTCGCAATGTATAAAAAGTTAACAAGTATAGATTTATATATAGACACATCAAACATATCTTTACCATTATAATGAAAACATAGGATAAATTGAAGGAAGGAAGGAAGGATGCTTAACATAGATCCTGCCATCAACCAGGACAACATGATGATTTGTAGATAAAGGAGGAATTATAATAATAAAGGGTTAATGAAAGAAATATTGGAGAATGTTTAGCATGTTTAGAGAAAATGTCTTTTTCAGAGGTACAAAATGTATTGTACTGCTCGAATTTGTGTAACATGTACTGTAAATGTCATTTACTCCAGTCAAATGAAGAAATTGTGAGATATGTATATTGAGTGCCTGGAATGTATTGTACTGCTCCAATCTGTGTAACATGTACTGTAAATGTCATTTACTCCAGTCAAATGAAGAAATTGTGAGATATGTATATTGAGTGCCTGGAATGTATTGTACTGCTCCAATCTGTGTAACATGTACTGTAAATGTCATTTACTCCAGTCAAATGAAGAAATTGTGAGATATGTATATTAAGTGCCTGGAATGTATTGTACTGCTCCAATCTGTGTAACATGTACTGTAAATGTCATTTACTCCAGTCAAATGAAGAAATTGTGAGATATGTATATTGAGTGCCTGGAATGTATTGTACTGCTCCAATCTGTGTAACATGTACTGTAAATGTCATTTACTCCAGTCAAATGAAGAAATTGTGAGATATGTATATTAAAGTGCCTGGAATGTATTGTACTGCTCCAATCTGTGTAACATGTACTGTAAATGTCATTTACTCCAGTCAAATGAAGAAATTGTGAGATATGTATATTAAAGTGCCTGGAATGTACTGTCATCAGATAGTAAACAATCAGATTTTTCTGGGAAGTTGAAAGATATAAGATTTTGCAGATTTCTTTGGATATTTATAAAGGATATTTACAGAAATTTTCCGAGATCTGAATTGTGATATTCTTATGTTCATAAATTCCACATTTTTATTTAAATAAATCAAAATTTGCATTTTGAGTGGTACATTTCAACAATATGAACCCCAACCCCAGAAAAATTTATCAAAAAGAGATGTTGTTTAACAGTTATTATTTGATGAGTTCAATCACACTGATGAAAATTTGTGAGTTCTACTAGGAAATGATACATAAGATCATACTTCCAAAAAATATAGCTTTGTTATAGACAACTTTCGTAGAATTGATAGAGTTGCATAAGAGATTAAATATATGGTGAATACAAATGAATTTTTTTTCCATAAAACAAAAAATTTTAAGCTAATTATTGTACACAGAAAACTACATTTCAGTGCCTAGAAAATTTATATTTGCTGCTATAAGATTCTAATTCTATATTGAACAAGTTTTTATAACCAGTTTCCAATGTTGACACAAAACAACTTTTCGTTTTCAATTACAATTAATCTGTTGTGCAACAGTTTCTCCATGAGCATCATGCATTGTTTGTCATAGTTCTTTGTAAAACCCCATATTCCTTTTGCTGCTGCTTATATTACATACACGACATAGGTCAGTCATAAATACAAGAGAAATAATGGCTTGAAATTAACTTACATTTAAACAATTGTGTTTTTTGTTTGTCTGTATTTATGCCTGTTTTTTTTAGTAACAGGATATGGATAGAGTGATAAGAACTTTGTGGAAACAGTGGGATTCAGAGAGCCCAAAGGAGAAAAAAATTGTTATTGGAGTCATAGCTGGAAGTTACCTTTCATATCGGGCAGGAAAAATACTTCACCATTATTATAAGAAATATGAAAACAACCAGAAAATTAAAAGGAAGCAGGAAGAATGCAGAGAGTCAAAAGAGAAACTTAAGGAATTTCTCATGGAGAAAAAAGTAATGAATAATATTTTTTAATGTTAATTTTTCATTTTGCAAATGTTTATTATGGTCATATTATGACATGTTAGGTATTCGTCAACTGAAAAAAAATAACAAAAAAGACATTTAAAGGTCAATAAAATTTTTTTTTTTTAGATAAACAAGGGTCTATACAACATGTAAAGATGAAAAAAATTGCTAAATCTACATAGGTTACAAATAAATTGAACAGATACTTCTAATTATCTGCCATAGTAAGACAAGTACTGAAAATTTTTAAAAAAATGTGAAATATAATATAAAAAATTATTTCTTCAAATTCCATCAAACTTTTTTAAGTCTGATTTGATTTACTGTGGATTCATTTATTTTTGTAGCTACCAAATATCATGGTTTGATGAACTTTTTTCATTGTTTTGGCTACCAAATAACATGGTTTGATGAACATTTTTATTTTTGTGGCTACCAAATATCATGGATTGACGAACATTTTTATTTTTGTGGCTACCAAATATCATGGATTGATGAACATTTTTATTTTTGTGACTACCAAATATCATGGTTTGATGAACATTTTTATTTTTGTGACTACCAAATATCATGGTTTGATGAACATTTTTATTTTTGTGACTACCAAATATCATGGATTGACAAACATTTTTATTTTTGTGACTACCAAATATCATGGATTGATGAACATTTTTATTTTTGTGGATAATTGCATTGAATTCAGGGTTTTGCCAAAGTCTGATGATACAAGCCTATTGAAAATGTGTACCTTTTTAACAAATAAATTCCTGGTAAACCTAGAACCACAAATTCTATAAAGATTGATATCCAAGAATAGTAATAGTTTATTGAAAATAATGCACTATTATACCCCCAATGGGGTGCATGGCATACATGAAAATCAACAAAATAAAACATTACATAATACATCACAAAAATAATAATGAATCCACAATACTTCTTATATTTCAAAACAAAATGATATATGTACCAGGAACAGTAATGAATAACCCATTAATGCAATTTATGCAGATAACAAAATGAATGAGAAACATGTAGAACTTAATAGTCTTAGACCCTGTGATATATATATATAAAAAAAGCATATGATATTTTTAATGTAAGGAATTCTGAGTAAGTAATGAATATGTCAGTCATTTGGAGATATTGTATAGCAACAAACAATTATGAAATTATACTAAAATTAATGTAAATTTCCAGTCATTTATTATATAACTCTTATATACTTTGATATAGATTTCCAAAGAAGCTGTACAGAGAATAGTGAGCCTTCCATTTAAAGATCTTCAAACAGAATTACAATCAGGAAAGATAACTGCTGTTGAAGTATTACATGCTTATCAAATAAAGGTAATTTTTTTCAATGTTAATAAAAACTAGGTTATGACGAAAGATTTATAAATCAGTATCCCTAACAAACAATTTAAACTATAACCTCCAAATCAAGTTAAAAAGATATCCATTAGAACAATGGATTCTCAAAGTAAGATTATCTGGTTTCTAAAGCATGTCCCCATAACAATGGGATGTAATTACAAATTGCTTAAGACAGTTTCAGTCCCCATCATAACAATGGACTGTAATAGCAAAATAACATGATATCAGACCCCATCATAAAAATGGACTGTAATAGTAAAATAACATGATATCAGTTCCCATGATAACTAAGGACTGGAATATTAAAATGAAATATCATGATATCAGTCCTCATGATATCAATGGACTGTAATAGTAAAATAACATGATATCAGTCCCCATCATAACAATGGACTGTAATAGATAATAACATGATATCTGTACCCATCATAACAATGGGCTGTAATAGTAAAATAACATGGTATCAGTCCCCATCATAACAATGGGCTGTAATAGTAAAATAACATGGTATCAGTCCCCATCATAAAAATGGACTGTAAAAGTAAAATAACATGATATCAGTTCCCATGATAACTAAGGACTGGAATATTAAAATGAAATAGCATGATATCAGTCCCCATGATATCAATGGACTGTAATAGTAAAATAACATGATATCAGTCCCCATCATAACAATGGACCGGAATAGAAAAATAACATGATATCAGTCCCCATCATAACAATGGACTGTAATAGTAAAATAACATGATATCAGTCCCCATCATAACAATGGACTGTAATAGTAAAAAAGCATGATATCAGTCCCCATCATTAACATGATATCTGTCCCCATCATAACAATGGGCTGTAATAGTAAAATAACATGATGTCTGTCCCCATCATAACAATGGACTGTAATAGTAAAATAACATGATATCAGTCCCCATCATAACAATGGACTGTTATAGTAAAATAACATGATATCAGTCCCCATCATAACAATGGACTGTAATAGTAAAATAACATGATATTGGTCCCAATCATAACAATGGAATGTAATAGCAAAATGACATGATATCAGTCCCCATCATAACAATGGACTGTAATAGTAAAATAACATGATATTGGTCCCAATCATAACAATGGAATGTAATAGCAAAATGACATGATATCAGTCCCCATCATAACAATGGACTGTAATAGTAAAATAACATGATATCAGTTCCCATTATAACAATGGACTGTAATAGTAAAATGACATGATATCAGTCCCCATCATAACAATGGACTGTAAAAGTAAAATAACATATCAGTCCCCATCATAACAATGGACTGTAATAGTAAAATAACATGATATGGGTCCCCACCATAACAATGGACTGTAATAGCAAAATGACATGATATCAGGCCCCATCATAACAATGGACTGTAATAGTAAAATAACATGATATCAGTCCCCTTCAAACAATGGACTGTAATAGTAAAATAACATGATATCAGTTCCCATGATCACTATGGACTGTTAGAGTAAAATAATATGATATGGTAACAAAGGAATGTAATAGTAAAATAATATGATTTTAGATCCCATGATAACAATGGACTGGAATATTTAAAAAAAAATAACATGATATCAGTCCCTTCATAACAATAGACTGGAATGTTAAAATAAAGAGAAATGACATCAGTCCCCATCATAACAATGGACTGGAATATTAGAATAAAATAACATGATATCGGTCACCATGAAAACTATGGACTGATAAAGTAAAATAACATGATTACAAATGGTCAAAAGGTATCATTATCCAGCTATAAAAGTTTTATTTACATTTGTGTGTTTCAGGCACTGGAAGTTGATAAACTTACAAACTGTATAACAGAAGTAATATGGGAGGCTGAGGTTAGTACTCTTTTACAACTGTATAACAGAAGTAATATGGGAGGCTGAGGTTAGTACTCTTTTACAACTGTATAACAGAAGTAATTGGGGAAGCTAATATTAATACTATATATGGAATGAGTATTTGGATTCCATGTAAATGAATGAATTGTGGGTGTGTATGTCACAGTTTTAGATACAGATGTTTTTTATTTATATTTAACAGGCAGAAATTGAGGTACCGGTAAATTTCATAGTATTTATTATCAAGTATTGTGACATGACAAAAAGTATTATATGACAAATCTAAGAGATTTGAATGAGATGAAAAAATCAATGTGTTCTTTAGTTGTTGGTCACTTCATGCAGATGTATGTATACCACAAAAAGCAATTTAGACAAATGCCAGTTTTTTATTTGTTGTTAATAAATGAAAAAAATTGTTTTACTAACATTTATATATGATTGTATGACTAATTGTGCCATCATATCTTGTTGTAGGAGATTGCTTTAAGTAGAGATTTGAATGCCAATAAGAAGGGTCCACTTCATGGTATACCAATAAGTTTAAAAGAAAGCTTTATGATTCCTGGTTATGATTGCACAGCTGGACTAGCTTTCTACTTAGATAAACCTGCTAAACAAGAGAATGTTCTTGTACAGGTATACTTTTAAAAACAAATATTTTCTGAACTTTTCTTTCCTAAATTTCAGTCACAAATTATTCTTGATTTCTTTGAACTACAAAGTATTCTTAGAAGTTGTACCTTATTGTTATACGCCCGTTTACTGGACGTATTATGGTATACTGTTGACGTCTGTCCGTCCGTCCGTCCGTCGTCAGCATGTCAGACATTAACTCAAAAACACTTTAACCAATATGCATGAAACTTTGGTGAATTGTTTATATCTATTGACGTGAGCTCCCTTTCATTTTTTATAAATTTCAGATTTACCGTTTCCAAGTTTTGGGGTTTTATTCATTAACAAGGGGGGATTTTCCAGTTTGTGGACAATAACTCAAAAACAATTTCACCAATTTGCAAGAAACTTTGGTGAATTGTTTATTTCTATCGACATGAGCTCCCTTTTGATTTTTATAAATTTTAGACCATACGTTTCCGATTTATGGGGTTTTATTCATTACAAAAAGGGGGATTTTCTAGTTTTCGGACAATAACTCTAAAATGATTTCAGCATTTTTTATGAAACTTTGGTGAATTGTTTATATCTATTCAGTATTGATGTAAGCTCTCTTTAGAATTTTATAAATTTTTGATTTTACATTTCCGAGTTATGGGGTTTTATTCATTAAAATAGGGGGGATTTTCCAGTTTTTGGACAATAACTCAAAAACAATTTCACCAATTTGCAAGAAACTTTGGTGAATTGTTTATTTCTATTGACATGACCTCCCTTTTGATTTTTTTAAATTTTAGACTATACGTTTCCGATTTGTGGGGTTTTATTCTTTACAAAAAGGGGGAAATTCCAGTTTTCAGACAGTAACTCAAAAATGCTTTCAGCATTTTTATGAAACTTTGGTAAATTGGTTATATCTATTGTTGTAAGCTCCCTTTTGATTTTTATAAATTTAAGATTTTACGTTTCAGAGTTATAAGATTTTATTCATAAAAAAAGGGTTGATTTTCAAGTTTTTGGACAATATCCTTAAAGTGCTTAGAGCAGTTTTCATTAAACTTTGATGACTGATTTATATCTATTAAGATGACCTTCCTTTAGTTTTTTTATAAATTTCTGATATAACATTGAGAAGTTATTGTTTGTTTTATAGTCTGACATAGGATTTACTAAGTATTGCGCAACAGCACAGTGTATTTCTCAACAGCAAGAAATCTTTAATTGAATATAAATTCAATTCATATGACCAATTTCAAGTTCTTTGACTACATTTATTCAGAAACCTATAATATGACAAATATTTAATTACAATCCAAATTCAGAGCTGTATCAAGCTTGAATATTGTGTCCATTTTTGTCCCAACTGTTCAGGGTTGGACCTCTGTGGGCGTATCCAGCTGCACTCAGCGAAGCAGTTTATTTTTATTTACCTTTTCAGGTTTTGAAACAGGCAGGAGCAGTACCGTTTGTCAGAACAAACATTCCACAAGGAATGATGACATACGAATGCTCAAATCCCATCCATGGCATCACAGGCAATCCACACGATCCTAAACGTATACCAGGAGGGTCATCTGGAGGGGAAGGAGCATTAATTGCAGGAGGAGGATCTATCTTAGGTTTTGGAAGTGACATTGGAGGTAGTCTCAGAATTCCTGCTCACATGTGTGGATGTTGCTCTCTCAAACCTACTGTTGGAAGGCTCAGGTAAAATTTAACTGTATTCACATTTTTTGTTGTATAAAACTACTTAAGATAAAAAAATCTTAATACATGTAAACCCAAAAAGTTTTAAACATATAACACGATATAGTGATATTGGACTTATATTGAGAAATATTGCCCGTGCAGTATATTATATTGCACGAGCTTGTGAGAAAGTATGCCATGCATTATCGGTGAAGATGCAATATTTTTAACTTCTGAAATCCTGGACCCTTTAATCCGCCATTTTGGATTGTAATATAGCAGTACACAATCAGTGTAGTTCTTTGCTTAAATCTGCAAAGTTTGAGACAGATTGGCAATTGATGTGTAAGATTGTATATCTAAATAAAGAAAAATAAGTACTTTATTGCATATTTCAGAATGTTTTAATAAACTTTTATCTGATCTGAACATGTATACTTAATAACTTGAACAAATAAAGACATAAGTCAAGCTCTTTTATGGCAGTGGTCAGTTAGCATGCATATCCTTTTATGTTTATAACATTTTTAGCTTAGTATCTGAGATATGTATTTGAGGTTAATCATGCTATGAGCTTGGGTTATCTGCCTTGAGAAGATACAGACATTAATAAATTTTTACTTGGATGGAGAGTTGTCTCATTGGCACTCATACCACATCTTCTTATATCTATTAGATCATTTGATAATCTAACTGTGACATATGATATTAAACAATTTTACTTACATAAAAACCAATGGAATTTTGCAGTGATGAAGGGCAGAATGATTTTGGAGATGGACAAACCTTAGGTAAGTGTTCTCTGAGAAAATTATATCCAAAACTATCAAATGAACTCTATTGAAATAACTCTGTTCTTCTAGAACCCTTTAAAGGAACCTAGTCTGTAAAGATGATGACTGGGTTGAATTGAATATCTATGAAAGGAGGTAATAGAAATCTTCAATAAGACAGCAACCAAACAAACACAAAAACCAAAAGATGTTTAGAGGTCAACATACAATTTCAACCGTAGACAGGTGCCTATGTGATAAATGCCAAGCTCTAATTGTAATCAATTTAGCAGTGATTGTAAAAGATCTGCCATTTACACCAAAATGTCCTTGTATATATGATAAGGATATAAAACATAAAAGCATGATATGATTTAGTTTTTAACGTCCATATAACTATTAATATAGCTCTCACACAGAAGGTAAAAAAACATAGGACTGGGGAGGCAAATGAACATGTAGAAAACTGATTAAAAACGGTATTTCACATCCTAAATTTTACGGTAATATTGTACTTAAAGCGCTGTGTTTTAGTTGATTTTAGTCTCTAATGCATGATTTTTTATTATTAATTGTTTTGGCTTTTAACTAGCTGTCAGTAACTGCGAGTACTCTCAAATCGTACTTTCTTGTTTATTTGACCTGTTGATACTAATTGTATTGCTTTTTTGTTATTTAATGTTATTCAGGGTTATATCTGGTCTATATACCAGCTTTTATAAGTGTTTGGTATTACTATAAATTTTCACTTCGTACTATGGACATCAAAATTATTTATTTTGTCAAAATATTTCCTGTCTCTATTGGAACTGTATACGTATACCTTACAACAAAATTATTTTCATTTACCTGTGTTTAAAGTTATTGCAAACAGCTGATATTTTTGTTCGAGCAGATTGTTTTTCTTTAATTGTTTAACATTTCATACCGATATAACATGTAACTTTTATTATTCTTCCCTTAGTTTATTTATTTTGTATTTACATTGTATCATAGGTCAAATTTATTTGTTCAGTGTATGTTCAATGGTGTTAATATGTCCTTTGATTGAGTTAAGCTATTTCAGTTGATATTTTATAGTGTGTTTTTCTATGTTGTGATGTTACACTATTGTTTCAGAAAAAGGGTGAAGGTTTGGTACCATTAAAACGTTTAAACCCGCTGCATTTGTTTGCACCTGTCCTAAGTCAGGAATCTGATGTTCAGTAGTTGTCGTTTGTTGATGTGGTTCATAAGTGTTTCTCGTTTCTCGTTTTTTATATAGATTAGACCGTTGGTTTTCCCGTTTGAATGGTTTTACACTAGTAATTTTGGGGGCCTTTTATAGCTTACTGTTCGGTGTGAGCCAAGGCTCCGTGTTGAAGACCGTACTGTGACCTATAATGATTTACTTTTATAAATTTTGACTTGGATGGAGAGTTGTCTCATTGGCACTCATACCACATTTTCTTATATCTATGTAGCAGGATTTAACAGTCAAGCCTGCAAAACTTATTTCGCGAAAGCAAGACATAGCTATCCTAGATTCCATCAAAGGCATCGTCAACATTTAGGTTCAGTCTGTGGTTAAAGTTTTTTTAGACATCCATAACTTATCAAACCTTCATGGAATTATATGAAATTTGGACAGACGCTTGTTTATGATAAATAGACTTTTTACAGTTAACAAGTAGATAAAGTCTTGAGTTAAAGTTTGTTTCACATCAATTACTTTATCAAACCTTCATAGAGTTTTATGAAACTTTGGCAGAAGTTTTTAAATGATTAAGAGATAATGTCTGAAGCAAACCTTTGAAAATATATTTTTTCATTTTTATTATTTTTCTGATAGATGAACTTAGCTTTATACTGTTAACATTTACAGTCTGGGATTAAATTTTTTGACTTGATAAATTTGTATTAACCTTTATGGATTGTTATGAAACTTGGACAGAAGCTAATATTCAAGTCCAAGAAATAGCATCTAAAGAAAAAGTTTGATTTTTTTTAAATTCTGTATTTTACTGATAAATGGACTCACATTTTAAGTCAACATTACATTTAACACTGACAGCAGCAATCGCAGGCGAGACACAGTGTGCACGGCGTGTGATATGAAAAATGAGTTAATTTGATTGGCTTATCAAGCATCATGAAACAATATTGTGACATTTCCATTGGCTATTCATTAGGCAATTGATGACCTCCAAAGGGTCACAAAACTTCAGTATACTGTAGGTTAATAGTTGTTTGGTATGCATTGTAGTTAACCAAAAAGTGATTACTTGTAAATTGCCATTAAGTGTACAGTATATAATTTCAATATAACATAAATGTATACATAAATCATGTGTCAGAACACCTAGTCTAAGGTGGTCCCTGAAGCTGTCAACTGTGGTTGACAAGACTGCAGCAATTAGCTGCATGTCCATTGAATGTGGTTAGGAAAAAAATCAATTTATATATTTCCATTGTAGCTCTATTGAAAAGTTTATTTTAAGCTTATTTAATACCAATGAAAGGAAATTGTATTAAGTTGCATTGTGACCTTTTATCATGACATCGTTTAGAAATTTACACTGACGTATATTGAAAAAAAAATATACTAATTTTGTAGATTTTAATTTTTCCGCAAGAGTTGATAAACACATAAATAAATAAGCTGCAACAAGTAAAATAAAAAAACACGAAAAACAGATCTAAATTGGCCTTATGTGCAGTCTTTCACCATTTTAATTTCCCCAGAACGATATTTCCAACTCTGCAGATTTGACAAAATGACACTTTTAATATGTAGGACATACCTGTTTATAATATGTAGGACATACCTGTTTATAATATGTAGGACATACCTGTTTATAATGTGTAGGACATACCTGTTTATAATAAGTAGGACATACCTGTTTATGATATGTAGGACATACCTGTTTATAATGCGTAGGACATACCTGTTTATAATAAGTAGGACATACCTGTTTATAATATGTAGGACATACCTGTTTTCATTCTGGGTAGGACATACCTGTTTATAATATGTAGGACATACCTGTTTATAATGAGTAGGACATACCTGCTTATGATATGTAGGACATACCTGTTTATAATATGTAGGACATACCTGTTTATAATATGTAGGACATACCTGTTTATAATGAGTAGGACATACCTGCTTATGATATGTAGGACATACCTGTTTTCATACTGGGTAGGACATACCTGTTTATAATGAGTAGGACATACCTGCTTATGATATATAGGACATACCTGTTTTCATACTGGGTCGGACATACCTGTTTATAATATGTAGGACATACCTGTTTATAATGAGTAGGACATACCTGTTTTCATACTGGGTCGGAAATACCTGTTTATAATATGTAGGACATACCTGTTTATAATGTGTAGGACATACCTGTTTATTATGAGTAAGACATACCTGTTTATAATATGTAGGACATACCTGTTTATGATATGTAGGACATACCTGTTTATAATATGTAGGACATACCTGTTTATGATATGTAGGACATACCTGTTTATAATAAGTAGGACATACCTGTTTATGATATGTAGGACATACCTGTTTATATTGCGTAGGACATACCTGTTTATAATAAGTAGGACATACCTGTTTATAATATGTAGGACATACCTGTTTTCATGCTGGGTAGGACATACCTGTTTATAATATGTAGGATATACCTGTTTATAATGAGTAGGACATACCTGCTTATGATATGTAGGACATACCTGTTTATAATATGTAGGACATACCTGTTTATAATATGTAGGACATACCTGTTTATAATGAGTAGGACATACCTGCTTATGATATGTTGGACATACCTGTTTTCATACTGGGTCGGAAATACCTGTTTATAATATGTAGGACATACCTGTTTATAATATGTAGGACATACCTGTTTATAATATGTAGGACATACCTGTTTATAATGTGTAGGACATACCTGTTTATTATGAGTAGGACATACCTGTTTATAATATGTAGGACATACCTGTTTATGATATGTAGGACATACCTGTTTATAATATGTAGGACATACCTGTTTATAATATGTAGGACATACCTGTTTATAATGTGTAGGACATACCTGTTTATTATGAGTAGGACATACCTGTTTATAATATGTAGGACATACCTGTTTTCATGCTGGGTAGGACATACCTGTTTATAATATGTAGGACATTCCTGTTTATAATGTGTGGGACATACCTGTTTATAATGTGTAGGACATACCGATTTATAATATGTAGGACATACCGGTTTATAATATGTAGGACATACCTGCTTTCATACTGGGTAAGTTGAGAAAATGCTCTTTGTAGTTGCTACCCTGTGACCTCTACACTGTGAATATTATTAATAGTCTCTAGAAGGTTTTGAGCTTGGTCTATAATGAGGCTTGATGAGGATTTTTAAATATTTTAGAATTAACTGTTGAGTGGTGGAATCTTGTTTCTCTAATGATTTTTAGACGATATACAGATAATCTTAATCCTTCTTTTTGAATGATTTGCAAAAAGATGTGTTCTTTCTATAAGCCTCGCGTTTTAAATTTGAAAATTTAACTGTCTGAAGAAGATAAATATGGTATCACATTTGATGCAGTGATATAATCTATATATCACACTCACTGTACAGAGTGTGATACAAGAAATATCTCTTATAAAAAAAAATTGATACAAAAAATTTGTTAATTTGATTGGCTTATCCAGCATCATAAAACAATATTGTGACATTTCCATTTGTTATTTGTTAGGTCATTGATGACTATCAAAGGTCAGAACAATGTACATTTCCTCCATGGCTGTGATTGTTTCAATAATATAAAAAAAACACTCACACTTTTCATCACCTGAAAATCTTATTTCTATCAAATTTTATTACCTTCTTAATTGTACACAAATTTTTAAATGTCTGATTTTAAAGTTTGACACTGGAACATGACATATGACATCATACTGATATGTGCAAAAGACTAAATCAACGAGTTGCAGACTTTACTTTTTTACTCAAAGAGAATGTTTATGAGTATCAACTCTCGTTATTTAATTTGAATAGTAATAATAAGCACTCCACAGCCTCCTTTATTAATGCATTAAAATTGAATAACTTGAGTTAATAAAAAGCCATATCCGTTTCTCACTCTTCATGAAACCTATGAATACAAATATAAAATAGTTAAGAATAAGTACTTACATCATGGTACAATTATAGTAGACAACAAAAAACACAAACATAAAACAACTGAAATACCAGAAGTACAAAGTAATACCATATATATTAATGTTTAAAGTTACAGAAAGAAAGTCTTAAGTATTTAACACATTGGTAAATAATTATGACATCATACAAGCTTACATAGACAGCTGTAATTGGAGTAGCTGTGGAACCGTAACTCTTATGGTCCTTATTAAGTTTTCTGATTAGTGCGTATCATAGACCGCAAATTGTCAAAAAAATATCATAAGGATCTAAGAGTCTACAGTTCTGCAGCTATAATTGGGGTATAGGATTATCAGTGACATCATAAACATTGATTTAAGTTCAGGGTGAGAGTGCATCTACAATTTTGTCTTTAAAAAACATTATGTGCCTGTCCCCCATCAGTAGTTGTCCTTTTAATATATTAATGTTTTTCGTTATTTTGAGAAATTTGTGTCAATCTCAATGGCACATCTGTTATTGTTTATGTTTGATTTATTAAGAACTTTTATAGACTCTGGAAAATTTAGAACTAGCCATATTGCTGAGACAACTTTTTATAGTTGAAGACTGTATGTTGCTCTCTAGATGACTTTTCATGGTTGTTTGTCATAGGGTTACCATTCCATTGACTTATACCCCCACATTTAATCTTACTTACATTTCATTGACTTATACCCCCACATTTAATCTTACTTACATTTCATTGACTTATACCCCCACATTTAATCTTACTTATATTTCATTGACTTATACCCCCACATTTAATCTTACTTATATTCATCTACAGATGTTTTGGCACAGTACATTGACTTATACCCCACATTTAATCTTACTTATATTCATGTACAGATGTTTTGGCACAGTACATTGACTTATACCCCCACATTTAATCTTACTTATATTCATCTACAGATGTTTTGGAACAGTACATTGACTTATACCCCCACATTTAATCTTACTTATATTCATCTACAGATGTTTTGGCACAGTATTATCAATTTGCAATTATAAAATTTTATCAGTTTAAGGTATTACAGGAAAAAAGCTAAGATAAAGTAGATAATTATAGAATAGAGGCACTAATGGACCTTAATGTTAATGCTATTCTTACTCTATCATAAAAACCATGTGTCAAAAATGTTTAAAATTCATATGTTTTGAATGGCAGGTCAAAACTTGTGAATTTGTATGTAAAAATGATATAATACATAGATCATATAATTTTGTTTTCAGTAATTGCTACACCAGGACCGATGGCAGCAGATGTAGATGGCCTGGTTTCCAGTATGAAGTGTTTACTGGTACCCAAAATGTTTAATCTAGATCCAGCAGTATCCCCTGTTCCATTCAGAAATGAGGTAATTATTGAAGTGTTAATATCAATATTCTTTCATAGTTATAACTTTCATTGTCCTAACTGTATAAATATGTGTATACAAAAGTTTCTTTGTCTTTACTGTAAAAGATGTGTATACAAAAGTTTCATTGTCCTAACTGTATAAATATGTGTATACAAAAGTTTCTTTGTCCTTACTGTAAAAAGATGTGTGTACAAAAGTTTCATTGTCCTTACTGTAAAAAGATGTGTGTACAAAAGTTTCTTTGTCCTTACTGTAAAAAGTTGTGTATACAAAAGTTTCTTTGTCCTTACTGTAAAACGATGTGTGTACAAAAGTTTCATTGTCCTTACTGTAAAAAGATATGTATACAAAAGTTTCATTGTCCTTACTGTAAAAAGATGTGTATACAAAAGTTTCTTTGTCCTTACTGTATAAAGATGTGTATACAAAAGTTTCATTGTCCTAACTGTAAAAAGATGTGTTTACAAAAGTTTCATTGTCCTAACTGTAAAAAGATGTGTATACAAAAGTTTCTTTGTCCTTACTGTATAAAGATGTGTTTACAAAAGTTTCATTGTTCTTACTGTAAAAAGATGTGTATACAAAAGTTTCATTGTCCTAACTGTATAAAGATGTGTTTACAAAAGTTTCATTGTCCTTACTGCATAAAGATGTGTATACAAAAGTTTCATTGTCCTAACTGTAAAAAGATGTGTATACAAAAGTTTCATTGTCCAACTGTATAAAGATGTGTTTACAAAAGTTTCATTGTCCTTACTGTATAAAGATGTGTTTACAAAAATTTCTTTGTCCTTACTGTAAAAAGATGTGTTTACAAAAGTTTCATTGTCCTTACTGTATAAAGATGTGTATACAAATGTTTCATTGTCCTAACTGTATAAGGATGTGTATACAAAAGTTTCTTTGTCCTTACTGTAAAAAAGATGTGTTTACAAAAGTTTCATTGTCCTAACTGTATAAATATGTGTATACAAAAGTTTCATTGTCCTAACTGCATAAAGATGTGTTTACAAAAGTTTCATTGTCCTAACTGTATAAAGATGTGTATACAAAAGTTTCATTGTCCTAACTGTATAAAGATGTGTATACAAAAGTTTCATTGTTCTAACTGTATAAAGATGTGTTTACAAAAGTTTCATTGTCCTAAATGTATAAAGATGAGTATACAAAAGTTTCATTGTCCTAACTGTATAAAGATGTGTTTACAAAAGTTTCATTGTCCTGACTGTATAAAGATGTGTTTACAAAAGTTTCTTTGTCCTGATTGTCCTTACTGTAAAAAGATGTGTGTACAAAAGTTTCTTTGTCCTTACTGTAAAAAGATGTGTATACAAAAGTTTCTTTGTCCTTACTGTATAAAGATGTGTATACAAAAGTTTCATTGTCCTAACTGTAAAAAGATGTGTTTACAAAAGTTTCATTGTCCTAACTGTAAAAAGATGTGTATACAAAAGTTTCTTTGTCCTTACTGTATAAAGATGTGTTTACAAAAGTTTCATTGTTCTTACTGTAAAAAGATGTGTATACAAAAGTTTCATTGTCCTAATTGTATAAAGATGTGTTTACAAAAGTTTCATTGTCCTTACTGTATAAAGATGTGTATACAAAAGTTTCATTGTCCTAACTGTAAAAAGATGTGTATACAAAAGTTTCATTGTCCTAACTGTATAAAGATGTGTATACAAAAGTTTCATTGTCCTAACTGTATAAGGATGTGTTTACAAAAGTTTCTTTGTCCTTACTGTAAAAAGATGTGTTTACAAAAGTTTCATTGTCCTTACTGTATAAAGATGTGTATACAAAAGTTTCATTGTCCTAACTGTATAAGGATGTGTATACAAAAGTTTCTTTGTCCTTACTGTAAAAAGATGTGTTTACAAAAGTTTCATTGTCCTAACTGTATAAAGATGTGTATACAAAAGTTTCATTATCCTAACTGTATAAAGATGTGTTTACAAAAGTTCCATTGTCCTAACTGTATAAAGATGTGTATACAAAAGTTTCATTGTCCTAACTGTATAAAGATGTGTATACAAAAGTTTCATTGTCCTAACTGTATAAAGATGTGTTTACAAAAGTTTCATTGTCCTAACTGTATAAAGATGTGTATACAATAGTTTCATTGTCCTAACTGTATAAAGATGTGTTTACAAAAGTTTCATTGTCCTGACTGTATAAAGATGTGTTTACAAAAGTTTCTTTGTCCTGACTGTATAAAGATGTGTTTTCAAAAGTTTCATTGTCCTAACTGTATAAAGATGTGTTTACAAAAGTTCCATTGTCCTAACTGTATAAAGATGTGTATACAAAAGTTTCATTGTCCTAACTGTATAAAGATGTGTATACAAAAGTTTCATTGTCCTAACTGTAAAAAGATGTGTATACAAAAGTTTCATTGTCCAACTGTATAAAGATGTGTTTACAAAAGTTTCATTGTCCTTACTGTATAAAGATGTGTTTACAAAAATTTCTTTGTCCTTACTGTAAAAAGATGTGTTTACAAAAGTTTCATTGTCCTTACTGTATAAAGATGTGTATACAAATGTTTCATTGTCCTAACTGTATAAGGATGTGTATACAAAAGTTTCTTTGTCCTTACTGTAAAAAAGATGTGTTTACAAAAGTTTCATTGTCCTAACTGTATAAATATGTGTATACAAAAGTTTCATTGTCCTAACTGCATAAAGATGTGTTAACAAAAGTTTCATTGTCCTAACTGTATAAAGATGTGTATACAAAAGTTTCATTGTCCTAACTGTATAAAGATGTGTATACAAAAGTTTCATTGTTCTAACTGTATAAAGATGTGTTTACAAAAGTTTCATTGTCCTAACTGTATAAAGATGAGTATACAAAAGTTTCATTGTCCTAACTGTATAAAGATGTGTTTACAAAAGTTTCATTGTCCTGACTGTATAAAGATGTGTTTACAAAAGTTTCTTTGTCCTGATTGTCCTTACTGTAAAAAGATGTGTGTACAAAAGTTTCTTTGTCCTTACTGTAAAAAGATGTGTATACAAAAGTTTCTTTGTCCTTACTGTATAAAGATGTGTATACAAAAGTTTCATTGTCCTAACTGTAAAAAGATGTGTTTACAAAAGTTTCATTGTCCTAACTGTAAAAAGATGTGTATACAAAAGTTTCTTTGTCCTTACTGTATAAAGATGTGTTTACAAAAGTTTCATTGTTCTTACTGTAAAAAGATGTGTATACAAAAGTTTCATTGTCCTAACTGTATAAAGATGTGTTTACAAAAGTTTCATTGTCCTAACTGTATAAAGATGTGTATACAATAGTTTCATTGTCCTAACTGTATAAAGATGTGTTTACAAAAGTTTCATTGTCCTGACTGTATAAAGATGTGTTTACAAAAGTTTCTTTGTCCTGACTGTATAAAGATGTGTTTTCAAAAGTTTCATTGTCCTAACTGTATAAAGATGTGTTTACAAAAGTTCCATTGTCCTAACTGTATAAAGATGTGTATACAAAAGTTTCATTGTCCTAACTGTATAAAGATGTGTATACAAAAGTTTCATTGTCCTAACTGTATAAAGATGTGTTTACAAAAGTTTCATTGTCCTAACTGTATAAAGATGTGTATATAAAAGTTTCATTGTCCTAACTGTATAAAGATGTGTTTACAAAAGTTTCTTTGTCCTGACTGTATAAAGATGTGTTTTCAAAAGTTTCATTTTCCTAACTGTATAAAGATGTGTTTACAAAAGTTTCATTGTCCTAACTGTAAAAAGATGTTTATTAAAAAAGTTTACAAAAGTTTCTTTGTTTGATATTTCTTTCATTGTCATAACTGTAAGGGATAACCATAGAATTGAAAAAAAATAAAGCAAAACCAAAAACTGGGTTATATAGTGAACAATTCTTCAGGGATTTCACTTGCACAGAAAATCTTGTATATTAAAGAAATCTGGCTTTCAAAATCAGTAATACAACCAGGAAAAAACAGATTTGGGAAAACAAACAGTAAACAAAACTTGGAACTTCTACAACGTATAATAGCACAAAAAAAAATAACAATTACATACCAGTTGTTTTGAAAAAAATGTCAGATAGAACAAAGTTGTGCAGGAAGATTTTTATGTAGTGACCTGATATAACTAGACAAGGAATTCAAGATATATATTTAATAATATATTGTTTTACTCATTGCAGATATATGAAGAGAAACGTAAGCTAAATATTGGATTTTATGTAGATGATGGAAGTTTGAAATCTATTCCTGCATGTCAGAGAGCAGTCTTAGAGGTCAAGGCCATGTTAGAATCACAAGGTCACACAGTAAGTAATGAAAAAATTTAACGTATAGCTATTTTGCTTAAAATTTTAAACAAATAAAAGATGTGACAGAAAATCATTGACTTAAAAAGTCGAAATAAATCTTAGAGGTTGTACTATATGTCATTTTCTAGATTATCCCAAATATAAAAAAAGTTTAGTGTAGATTTTAAAGATGATTACCAAAAATCTTCCAACAATACAAAAAATTCTTAGAATGGATTAAAGAATTCAGAATAAACTAAAGATAACCTCTGGATATGTTCCAGATTTTGGACAGGCCTTCATCAATGGAGGTTTAATTTAGTTTTGCATTGCTGTATTGATATATTGTTAAACAAAGGCCATGTTACAACATATTTATCCTTATATTTACATATTTTATGAACAGCCTCAATTTATTTTGACCATTAGTAGTAAAAGAGTCCTTCATTGACTCTATTCTAATTACTCATAAAAAAGACATTAAACAACAGAATGAAACTCAATCAACAAACAACAACAATCTGTTATCCAATCCACATTCTAATTTTGTCTGTAAATGAATTTGAAGATCTTTATCCACTTTTGAGTTTTGTTTCTAAGTGAATTTGGAGGTCTTTATGTTCATTTGAGTTTTGTCTGTGGTGAATTTGGAGGTCCTTATCTACATTTGAATTTTGTCTGTGGTGAATTTGGAGGTCTCTATCCACATTTGAATTTTGTCTGTGGTGAATTTGGAGGGTGTTGTCCACATTTGAGTTTTGTTTGTTGTGAATTTGGAGGTCATTATCCACATTTGAGTTTTGTTTGTAGTGAATTTGGAGGTATATGTCCACATTTGAGTTTTGTCTGTGGTGAATTTGGAGGTCTTTATGTACATTTGAGTTTTGTCTGTGGTGAATTTGGAGGTCTTTATCTGCATTTGAATTATGTCTGTTGTGAATTTCGAGGTCGTTATCCACATTTGAGTTTTGTTTATAGTGAATTTGGAGGTCTTTTTCTACATTTGAGTTTTGTTTATACTGAATCTGGAGGTCTTTATCTACACTAGAATTTTGCATGTAAATGAATTTGGAGGTCTTTATCTAAATTTAAATTTTGTATATAAGTGAATTTGGAGGTCCTTATCCACATTTGAGTTTTGTCTGAAAGTGAATTTAAATGTCTTTATCCACATTTGAGTTTTGTCTTTAAGTGAATTTTGGATGTCTTTATCCACATCTAAGTTTTTTCTGTAAGTGAATTTGGAGGTGTTTATCACCATTTGAGTTTTGTACTTAACTAAATTTGGAGATCTTTATGTACATTTGAGTTATTTGGATGTCTTTATCCACATTTGAATTTTGTCTATGGTGAATTTGGAGGTCCTTGTCCACATTTGAGTTTTGTCTGTAAGTGAATTTGGAGGTCCTTGTCCACATTTGAGTCTTGTCTGTAAGTGAATTAGGAGGTCCTTATCCACATTTGAATTTTGTCTGTGGTGAATTTGGAGGTCTTTATCCACATTTGAATTTTGACTGTGATAAATTTGGAGGTCTTTTTCTACATTTGAGTTTTTGTTTGTAAGTGAATTTGGAAGTCTTTATCCACATTTGAATTTGTATGTGGTGAATTTAGAGGTCTTTTTCCACATTTGAGTTTTTTCAGTTAATGTGTTTGGAGGTCCTTATATACACATTTGAGTTTTGTCATTGCAAACAAAATGTGGATATTTTATACTATCTCAATGATTTTAGCCTAAAACATCCATTTGACCACAAAAAGTGTGTTTACAAAAAGATTATATAAATATGAAATTGTAATTTATTATTAAAAGAGTTTAGAATATGAATGTTTCTGTAGCTTGTTAAAATTATATTATGTTTTTTGCTGTTTTAAACTGAAGACATGATGTTATCTCTTTCCTTTCAAGGAAATTTAAATCCAGGTTTATGTTTTTTTTTCTGTAGTTGATCCCTTTTGAACCTTTAGATATTTCCAAGATGTCAGAACTGTTTATAAAAGCAACATTTGCTGATGGTGGTAAAATTTTTGTTGACATTCTGTGAGTAATAACTTAACATTGATTGATACTGATAAAAGAAGGGTTTTGACTTTCTCTGAGTAAATAATCCTATCATTTACTGATGTTGGTAAAAGTTTTGTAGACATTCTGTGAGTGATGAACTACACATTAAATGATGCAGGTTAAAGCCATGTTGATGTTCTGTGAGTAATAAACTTAACATTTACTGATGCAGGTTAATGTTTTGTTGATATTCTGTGAGCATAGTCATAACATAAAAATTTACTGATGTTGACATTCTTTGAGTTATAAACTTAACATTTTACTGATATTGGTAAAAGCATGCATGTTAAAGGGGCATTAGCTGTAAAATTCATGTTCATCAATTTGACCCAATTCTTATGTTTTATTTATAATATACTAAAACATATATCCAAATTACAAAAAGTCAAAAAGAAACAATTAACAATGCCTGGACACGTTATAATGTATCAGCAATTCGTGCATATTTGAGACTAGACACCATCTAATTATCCATCGGGATAACCTATGATCATATAACCAATATAAACATAAATGTAAATAGACATACATGCATGTGCTATTGTTTGATTACATATTATAGATTTAAAATACATTTAAATCATCGTTTTACCTGTATGAGAATGATTTTTTGTCAGCTAAGTCAATAAAATGGTTATTCCTGGTGACTCCCTTGTTTCACTTTTCAATGCTTACATTTTTTTCTGTTTAATGAATGAGCACTCTAACCACATGCTTAACACATGAGCAACCGTCTCCACCAAGGTTCTAATTAAAGTTTGCTTGAATACGGATTCAAATGAGGTTTATTGACTTGCAAGCCAATAATACATTAGCAATGTTTTTCAGCTGCTATTGACGAAATCAAATCAAACTGACTGCTAATAGCAATATATTATTTCTGTATTCTGTTTTAATAAATGTTTGAAGAAGAAAAAAAATCCTGTTTTAATTGTTTACCTAATTCGTAGCTAACGCCCCTTTAAAGCTTTGTTGACATTCTGTGTGTAAGTGTGTAATTAACTCAACATTTACTAATGCTTGTAAAAGCTTTGAGTAATAAACATAACATTTACTTATGCTTGTAAAAGCTTTTAGTAATAAATATAACATTTACTGATGCTTGTAAAAGCTTTGTTTTACATTATGTGAGTTATAAACTTAACATTTACTGATGCTGGTAAAATAGCTGTTTTGACATTTCAATCATTTTCTGATGCTGGTAAAAGAATTTTTGAAATTCTGTGAATAAATTGAATTATTTCCCCTTATTTAAAAAAGTTTTTGTATTTAAGCTGTTATTGATTACTCATGCGAATTCCACCTATATTTGGTATTGATTGACTGATTGTTGGTTGCTTAATGTACAGTGGCAAATAATGCATGCATATTCAGAATGATGTGTAAGAAAATGGAAAGTAACTGTTAAATAATATTAGATATTGCTAATATAAAATTATTTAAAATATTTATCTTATTACAGATCAACAGACCAAGTAGATCCAACAATATCTATTACAATGATGTCATTTAAAATGCCTAAATGGTTGTATAAGGTAATGGTTATGGTTGGGAGATTACTAACTAAGGTTTGTACCTTGTGTAAAGGATTGCACTAAATCAGGTTGTGACCGTTATACAGTCTTAGGTTATTGCACTAAATCAGGTTGTGACCATTATACAAACAGTCTTAGGTTATTGCACTAAATTAGGTTGTGACCATTATACAAACAGTCTGAGGTTATTGCACTAAATTAGGTTGTGACCATTATACAAACAGTCTTAGGTTATTGCACTAAAAGAGGTTGTGACCATTATTCAAACAGTCTTAGGTTATTGCACTAAATGAGGTTGTGACCATTATTCAAACAGTCTGAGGTTTGTACCATGCCTCAATGGTTTTAAAAAAGTGAGGATGCTGATTTTAAGTTTACTGAGGCTTTTATCTAGTCTAATTTGTTATGAAAAAAGGGTTTAAGAATAATCTTAATGTTTGTTCCTTGCCTTTAAAAGCTGGTTAAATGATTGCACAAATGTTACACCTCACTCTAAAAGTTGGGGCTACATTGCAATCACCTTGTCAGTCCATTTGTCTAACAAATATTTTGTCCCACTTTTGTCTGAAACTACTGTACATATTAAGTCAGCAGCTTGACAGTAATGAGTATAACTTGTGTGTGCTATTCAGATCTGTCAGATACCTACATCCTGATTTTGATCATTTGAATCACAAGTAGGGTATGCTAAATTATCAAGACAATTGGTGCATTTTTGTTTATTTTGAGTTTACTTCCAATGTTTTAAACTTACCTAAATAGTTTTATAAGAAGAAATCATATTATGAGTGATATATCTTGCCTAAACAATTTTACAAATCAGAAATTTATTTTAAGATTTGTAGCATGCTTAAGTGGACATTGCATATGTATTTTATGTAGGACTGTATCTTGCTTAGGTATTTAATTGTACAAAATAGGAATGTTCTTGTGAGGGCTCTCTGTGGTCCAAATGGTGGGATATTTATGGCAAAGTTTTAAAACACTAGGGTTTGCATTTATTTCAAATATTTGTATAAAAGTCTGATGTTTTTTGTGAGATAACTGACCAAGGTATTTATCTTTAGCTTACCGTTATATATATATATTGCTGTATACTGAGTAGCTTTAGAAATACAACATGAATTACTAAAATTCTTAACAAATAAAACTTCATGAAAAGTTTCTATATCATTTTATAGGGACATTGGGTCTATATGATTAACACTTTTACAAGTTTTTGTCTTATTTATGATTTAGCCATTTTAAGTGTGAATAAAAGGATCTGTATGGTATATACCTATCAGAAAACAACCTAATGACATAATGAAACAAAAAATCTTCCACAGATTGCAAAATCATTTAATGTTCATGTTATGATAAAGTATTACAAAAAGAAAATGAAATATCAGTTTTAGATACTATTGCAAAGGTCATCATGTTACATTTTCTCATAAGGACATTCTGTAATTTTTGTATTTTACTGTATTTATGTTGTGATTCTAATTGGCTCTAGATTACAACAGAGTTTGTTTTATTTTATGGTTATTAAGACTTGAAAATAGTATTTTCTACAGTTTTGATGGTATTTACAGTAATTAATGTACTGGTATGATGTGCAGCTGTGGGGAAACAAAAACTATTGAGTTTTTCTAGGACTGATTAAGAAAAAGTGTCATGAACATTATTTGTTTTTGTTTTTCCATTCCATTTTGTATTAATGGGCATTGTGCATACATCTTCCATAAAAAAATATGAAATTATACATCATGCCAAATTAAAACACACACACCCTAACATTTGCATGCACACATAAACACACAGATTTTTGTGAGATATTGAAAATGAAAAAAAATAAAAGATATCAGAGTCTAAAGACAGTTGAATATTGAATGATTGAACAATTTTATTATAACTTGTTTTGTTGCTTGGAAGGATGTATTTTTTTTTAAAGACAACTGTGCAAATTTAGAAATTTTCTCCCGTTTTTCAGGACCATATGATGACTGTATTTGGAAATAGTTTCCTTGGGGTAAAGTAAGTATAATTTGTTAAAAAAAATATAGTTACGGAACACATCATCACTGTATTATAAGTTTATTTTAAAGGTCAACATGTGTTTGCCACTTGAAATGTGTTGTCATGACAGTTACATATTATTGAACAAACGCTGAAGAAACTGTGGTGATGTGGCTCAACAATTCTTACCCTAACGTGATTTTTATTACTTAGCAGCATACTGCTTACCAGGAAAAACTGGTCAATACAAACAAATAAGGAGTTGTGGTAGGATTGCCAATGAGACAACTATCCATCAAAGTTCAATTGAAGTTGATTTAAGCAATTATTTAAGCAATTAAAGGCAACTGTACTGCCGTCAACAATGAGAAAAACCCATACCCAATAGTCGGCTGTATAAGGCCCCGACATCAAAAATGAGGTAAAGAAAAATCGTAACAAAATATTCTACCATTAACATGTGTTTGAATATCTTTTGTGAATAAAGTATTTAGAGAAATCATAGCAATTTGGAATCAAATGGATTTTATTAGAAGGCTTTAATCTGCTTTGGAAACCATTTATAAATTACTCCTTAGAACCTCCTCGGTCATATTATACTACAGGCTTTAAACATTTTCGATTTTCTGTCAAGTGAGCTGTTAACAGAGCATCTGTTTAGTTATGTCAACTTTTGACTGATTATGATTTATGTTATTTTGCTTTTGTATTACAGATCAATAACAGAGTACTGGGATTTAGCTTTACAGATTAAGGTAGGCATATGTCACATTCTTTTTAGCTCACCTTTCTGAAGGAAATGTGAGCTTTTGCCATCACTTGGTGTCCGTCGTCGTTGTCCGTCCGGTGTAAACTATTTCAAACATCTTCTCCTCTAAAACTACTGAACCAATTCCAACCAAACTTAAGCTGAATGATCCTTAGGGTATCTAGAATAAAGTTCGTGTTTTATTTTCTCTTTCGTCAAAAAAACATGGGACCCCATGGCTAAAAATAGAACATAGGGGTAAAATGCAGTTTTTGGCTTATATTTCAAAACCTAAAGCATTAAGAGCAAATTTGACGGGGTAAAAATGTTCATTAGGTCAAGTTCTATCAGCCCTGAAATTTTCAGATGAATCTAACAACCCATTGTTGGGTTGCTGCCACTAAATCGGTAATTTTAAGGAAATTTTGCAGTTTTTGGTTATTATCTAGAATATTATTATTGATAAAGATAAACTGTTAACAGCAAAAATGTTCAGCAAAGTAAGATCTACAAATAAGTTCAAGTGACCAAAATTGTCAATTGACCTCTTAAGGAGTTATTGCCCTTTAAGGACAATTTTACACAATTTGTTTATCATGTTTTCTAACTTTAAAAAATCTTCTCCTCTGAAACTATTGAACCAAATTAAACCAAACTTAAAGCTGAATGATTCTTAGGTTATCTAGAAAAAAGTTTGTGTTTTATTTTCTGTTTCCTCAGAAAAAATGGTTGCCATGGCTAAAAATAGAACATAGGGTAAAATGCAGTTTTGACTTATATCTCAAAAACTAAAGCATTTAGAGGAAATCATACAAGAAGTTAAAATTATTCATTAGATCAAGGTCTACCTGCTCTGAAATTATCAGCCAAATCGGGTATCTGATTTTTAGGTTATTGCCCCTGAATTGGTGATTTTAAGGAAATTTTGAAGTTTTCGGTTATTATCGTGAATATTATCATAGATAAAGATAAATTGTAAACAGCAAAAATGTTCAGCAAAGTAAGATCTACTAATAAGTTTTTTTATGACCAAAATTGCCCTTTAAAGACAATTTTTCACAATTTGTTCATTTAGTTTGCTTACTTTAAAAAATCTTCTCCTTTGAAACTGCTGAATCAATTTCAGCCGAACTTGGGCTGAATGAGTTTCAGAGTATCTAGTATAAATTTTGTATTTTATTTCCTTGTATGTCAAGAAACATAGCCACTATGGCTAAAATGGAACATAGGGGTAAAATGCATTTTTTTGCTTTTGAAGAAAATATGACAGATACAAAGAACATTTAAATGGCATTTTTAAGCCACTCATTAATATATATTGAAAAGCAAAAATAATCATTGATGAAAGATTTAAGCAAAAAATTACAGGTGAGCTATTCAGGCTCTTGAGAGCCTCTTGTTTATCATTATTTACTGAACGTGTTTTATTCCATCATAGCTAATGGTAACCTTTTTGAATTTTTCTTTAAAATAAAAAGATACTGAATACTGAAAAATAAATACCTTTCTGAAAGTGTGGATGGGGGTTCCTCATTTATTCTTTTATTTTTAAGGTCATTTTTCTCTATTCTTTATATTTTTTGCCAATTATTCTCAACTCTTTATAATTTAACATCCCTTTATTCTCTATTCTTTATTTTTTTTTTACCTATTTTTCTCTAGTATTTGCCCATTATTCTCTATTCTGTTAACCCCAACCAGACCCTCCTTTATTGTGTTAGATTTTATTTTAAACTAGAGCTTTCTGCATAGCAGGACTCATACCCCCTGTACATACATTTTAGTTGCTGCTGTGAAATTCAATATTAAGACTATAACAATTTGAGATTTTTGGCCTTCAACCATTCATTTTATATAATCATTGCCTTTTTGGGGTCAAAAGGTGTAATACCACCATTGATTTTCCCCTATTAGTCTTTGTTAAATTTGCACTTTTCAAAAAATTGTGCAGAATTAATCTTTGTTTCAAATAAACAAATACTTGGCATGAGTAAAGTTTTATCCTGTCCAGTACTATAGAAAAAATTTCACATAACATTTCATTGCATATAAGAAAATAACCATCACTGGAAGTTAACCAATCAAATTTTCCCCCTGTTTTAACCTGTGTACAAGCTTTAGTAACCATGTAACCTCAAGTTTCCAAAATATTCTATAGAAACCCCAAATAAAGAAATAATGGTGCTTTGAAATACCCAAGATATATGTTTATGACTCAGAAATGTTTTACTGCAATGAAATGTAGGATCAATTACCTACAACTGTCAAATTCAAGGGAATATTTTTTTTCGACCTATTTTCGTATGCAACCGGATGTGGCGTACTATGATTTGGTGGTATTACACCAAAAGTCAAAACCACAACAACCTAATCTTACTGACAAATCACCTCATAATGCATCTGCAAACTTAGTTTGACTGATTTTGGGTAATCTAAGTTCTCCAGAGAACATTTATGCTCCAAATACAAATAACTATCATTGGGGTCAAGGGTCAAGTCAGTTCATATTGATATGATTTTGGTATTTGACAAATCCTGATCCCATGATGCTTCTGCATACAACATTGTGTCAATCTTAGTGCTACGATACAAAAGTTATGCGCCATACGCAAATCAGACAATGTTTTACTATCATAGGGGTCAAAGGTTAAAGTCAAGGTCAGTATGATGCTTTTGCATATAAAGTTTTGTCAATCTAAGTGCTGTGGTACAAATTTTATGCAAAGAATACAAACTAGACAATGTTTTACTATCCAAAGGTCAAAGTCAGAGTGACCTGACTTTGATATGTGACACCCCCATTTCATGATGCATCAGCATACCAAGTTTGGTCAACCTAAATTGTAAGTACAAAAGTTATGGCAGGACACAAATCAGACAAGGTTTTACTATCATTGGGATCAAAGTCAAGATCCGGGTCAAGGTCAGAGTGACCTGACTAAGGTATATGACACACCCTTCTCCCAGCCCATGATGAAACTGAATACCAAGTTTGATTAACCTAAGTTTTATGGTACAAAATTTATGAGCTTGACATGAATTGGACAAGGATTTACTTTAATAGGGGTCAAATGTTAAAGTCAATTGGTATATGACACACCCCCAGCCCATGATGCATCGGCATAACAAGTTTGATCAACCCAAATTCAATGGTACAAAAGTTGTAAGCTGGATAAGAAGCAGGATGGACTGATTGACAGACAGAAAGACAGATGATTAGACAAGGTGATTCCTATATACTCCCCCCCCCCCCACCCCCCACCTCCCCCCCCCCACCCCCCCAAAAAAAAAAATTGTTTGCAGGTGGGTATAAAAATGGTCAAGTTTTCACAAAAGTCTGTCCCATCGTGTTTTTATCTAACATCTTAAACATTCTGAGATTATACATTGAAAATGTCAATAACACAATTGATCACTATATGGCAGATAATGACTCTTATCTGACCAAATTCTAAGTTATAGACTAGAGAAAAGCGGAGATTTTAATTACATTGACATATTTTTCTGTCTGATAAAACGTTTACATAGTATAGAGCCTGAAAGCATGTACTTATATACTTAAACAGGAATATAAAACAGAATTTCTTAAGAAATGGAGAGACAATAAGTTAGATGCTATGATTTGTCCAGGGTTTGCTTACACAGCTATTCCACATGGTACAGTGCAGTATGTAATCAGTAAGTTTACCCCTATTTCACATTGTACAGTGTAGAATTGTACCAGTAAGTTCACACCTATTTCACATAGTACAGTGTAGAATTGTACCAGTAAGTTCACACCTATTTCACATTGTACAGTGTAGAATTGTACCAGTAAGTTTACCCCTATTTCTCATTGTACAGTGCAGAATTGTACCAGTAAGTTTACCCCTATTTCTCATTATACAGTGTAGAATTGTACCAGTAAGGTCACACCTATTTCACATAGTACAGTGCAGAATTGTACCAGTAAGGTCACACCTATTTCACATAGTATAGTGTAGAATTGTAACTGTAAGTTCACACCTATTTCACATAGTACAGTGTAGAATTGTACCAGTAAGGTCACACCTATTTCACATTGTACATTGTAGAATTGTACGAGTAAGTTCACACCTATTTCACATAGTATAGTGCAGAATTGTACCAGTAAGGTCACACCTACTTCACATAGTACAGTGCAGAATTGTACCAGTAAGGTCACACCTACTTCACATAGTACAGTGCAGAATTGTACCAGTAAGGTCACACCTATTTCACATTGTACAGTGTAGAATTGTACCAGTAAGGTCACACCTATTTCACATAGTACAGTGCAGAATTGTACCAGTAAGGTCACACCTATTTCACATTGTACAGTGTAGAATTGTACGAGTAAGGTCACACCTATTTCACATAGTACAGTGCAGAATTGTACCAATAAGTTCACACCTATTTAACATAGTACAGTGCAAAATTGTACCAGTAACTTTAAACGTATTCCACATGGTACAGTATAGTATTGTACCAATAAGTTCACACTTATTTCACACCATACAATGCAGAATTCTACCTGTAACTTTACATTTATTCCACATGGTACAGTGTAGTATTGTACCAGTAAGTTCACACCTATTTCACACCATACAATGCAGAATTCTACCTGTAACTTTACACTTATTCCACATGGTACAGTATAGTATTGTACCAATAAGTATAAAACTATTCCACATGGTACAGTGTAGTATTTATCAACTTAGTTTACACTTATTTCACACCATACAGTGCAGTAATCTACAAGTAAGTTTACAGCTATTCCACATATGGTATAGTGCAGAATTTTCTCAGTAAGTTTACATGTATTTCAAGTAGACAATTAAAAGTAATGTACCAGTACATTGACACCCATTTCACACCATATAGTACAGAATTGTTTTAGTAAATTTACAGCTAGTTCAGGCAGACAAGTGCAGTCAGTTGACATGTATTTCACACCATATAGTACAGAATTGTTTTAGTAAATTTACAGCTAGTTCATAGAGACAAGCGTAGTAAGTTGACACCTATTTCACACCATATAGCACAGAATTGTTTTAGTAAATTCATAGAGACAAGTGTAGTAAGATGACATCTATTTCACACCATATAGTACAGAATTGTTTTAGAAAATTTACAGCTAGTTCAGACAGACAAGTGCAGTAAGTTGACACCTATTCCACACCATACAGTACAGAATTGTTTTAGTAAATTTACAGCTAGTTCAGGCAGACAAATGCAGTAAGTTGACATCTATTTCACACCATATAGTACAGAATTGTTTTAGAAAATTTACAGCTAGTTCAGCCAGACAAATGCAGTAAGTTGACATCTATTTCACACCATATAGTGACGAATTGTTTTAGAAAATTTACAGCTAGTTCATAGAGACAAGTGTAGTAAGTTGACATCTATTTCACACCATATTGTACAGAATTGTTTTAGAAAATTTACAGCTAGTTCATAGAGACAATCGTAGTAAGTTGACATTTATTTCACACCATATAGAACAGAATTGTCCAAGTAAGTGTACAGCTCTTCCTCAGGATACAGTGCACAATAAATTTTTCCAATAAGATTACAGCTATTCCAAAGGGTTCATGGAGACAAGTACAGTTAATGGACACCTATTTCACACAATAGTACAGAATTGTACCAGTAAATGTACTGCTATTCCACAGTGACAGGAGATAATTGTACATCTGGTAGTTTTGGGTGATTAATATTTAAAAGTTAATGATGCAGTGATTTGTATAAAGTGTATAAAGTGTATGAAGAGAATTATTTCATGAAAAGCAGGAAAAGCATAAGGACTTTGTGTTCAGTTATTGAGATATGAGATATATGCAAATTAGACAGCAGCTTAACATAGAAAATTGTCTTAAGACACAGAGACAGGGGCGGATCCAGGATTTTGGAAAGGGGGGGCGTAGAATTAAAGTTCGCCAAAAAATTTTTTGGACCTTTTTTTGGCTAAAAAAAAAAAATAAGTGTAAAATGCATTTTATAGTTAAAGTGTAGGGGTTGGACATTTTTGGTGCCGTATTCTCTCCATCAATTATCTATTATGCAATGATTGGATGGATCCAAAGCTATGTACTAATTAATATATTTGATGTGGGATTTGTCAGTAAAAATGGACATGGAAAATTCTCGTTTGTTGTATGGTTAGTTAGCATATTAACCTCACTGATTTCTTGTTGTAAACAAGATATACGGCTATTCAATGAAATTTACAATACGACCGACACGAAGAAAGACAAACAAGCAATTTTATCCAAATGTTTAGTTGAAATGTTTCACCCAACAAGGGAAGTGAGGGGTTCCAAATCAACCAAAGGCTACGAATGAGTCGGAAATGACAATGAAGTTGTGAATGAGGGTCGACACATGGAGACATATAGGCCACACCCAGCCGGCAGGTAGCAGTCGTGCCTTGAAAAAAGTATTCAGTATATCAGTTCGGCGAAACAGACATTCCGGTCAGATATGGGATTCACATGCAACCCCCCCAAAAAAAAATTACGCCCGTTTTTTATTCATCATGTTCATTTAATGCTAAATAATTCTGTTGAAAATATTTATTTCTAATAGCAAAAAAGTGGACAAGATTATTGTTTTCAATCCAGATACGACCAGAATTTTTGTTTAAGGCAAAAATCAGGGTCAGAATTTGTTCTCTAAAATATGTCAGACTGCCCCTCAGATCAAATGGTCCGTACCTTAGACTTTAAATCTATATCTAGAGCATACTGACTGGGGATCACTTTTCAGCAATGTTATTAATGGGCTGGGGCGTGTGGGTTAAACATGTTTTCGTAGGTAAATAATATTACTGTGGAACTTTTTTTTTCATGAGAGTGTAATAGAGTATTACTTTCTGTTGGGTGGAATTGTGAAATAGAAATCAATACGTTCTTGCTCAATACTTTGTCGCTTTGAAGGCGTCATGCTTGTCATCCTCAGCCTAAGCAATGTGTTACTGTAATTTGAATTTCAAAATGACTGAGTGACGTTTTTTCGACGAACTGGTCAACTCCACCTTAGAGAATCACATGACTTTGACATAATCAATAATATATTACAGTAAATACGAGCGAAAAATATCTTTATAAGTAAAGAATTGCCGCATAAAAATTAAATACACAGGAAATGGCAAAGTTCACGAAGTCTAGTCTGATTAATCATTTTACAAAAAAAAAAAAAAAAAAAAAGTGCAAGCAAAGGGGCGTACGCCCTCTACGCCCCCATCTGGATCCGCCACTGAGAGAGGTCAAGATATGACCTTCAACAATAGACAAATGTCAATACAATATGTCAGGCTCTAAAATTATAGTTGGGAATAGATTAAGAGAGACTATCAAAGATCTTTTTTCAATAAAAAACATTACAATAGAAAAGTACTGATGAGGTTCATGGCTTTGTCAGGAACATGTGGTGGATTGTGGTTAAATAGTCTGTTTGAGATCACAACCCTCCCTATCTTAATCTCAGTCTGTGGAATAACAAAAAATACATAAACCAAGATTAAAAATAGTCATTAAAGGAAGAGCACTTTACTCTGTAATACTTGTGTAACAGGTTATTGAAGTAAAAGTACAATCCAAACAATACCATATAAAAAAATGCTTGCAGATACTAAAAATAAGTTTAAAGTACTTACATGTGTTATGCTGATATGAAATCCTGCTGTCCTACACCCTGATATCAGTTGCTATACTTCAGAGTAGATTTAATACAGCAATGCCATAAACAGTACAGACAGGCATGATGCTGGGAGCTTCCCTGAATAAATTTGTACAATGCAGACAAATTAAATCAAACATTTCAATCTTGCCTTTATATAAATCATGTGAATTTTCTTGGATATAATATTATATAGTAATACAGACAAAATCAAATGAAGTGATTTTATTGGTTTTAATGCATTTAGGTTTGTTAACTCTGTCATAAAGAGATGACATATATATGTTGTGTACAAAGTATCATTTTTATAATTTGTACAAAAATATTGTACAAATTATAATTTGTATCTTAACTTTGTACAAATTGTACACACTATAGCACTTCTATTTAATGACCACACAGTAAACCTTATTTTCAAAATAAAAAAAAATAGTTCTGTGTCATTTGTTTGAGCATGTGAGAGAATTATTGGATCAGGAATTGCAAAACATCTTTTACTTTTTATACATTCTTATTTCTATTTTAGGTGGAGTGACTTATACCATCTTATATAACTTGTTGAATTATCCTGCTGGGATTTTGAAAGTAACAAACGTGAAGCAACAAGACATTGATAACTTTAAAGACTATCCTTCAAATACATACACAGAAAAGTTAGTTAAAGAGGTGAGCTGTTGTCAATTGGTTATCAGAATAAAAATACAAAAAAACAAGAACTAAAATAAGTGATATTAGTACCAATATTCCAATGGTTAAAATGTTTTGTATACTGTTGTTTGTCTCTTGGACTTTTTCTATTTTGCCATGACGTTATCAGTGTAATTTGGACTTATGAGTTTGAATGTCCCTTTGGTATTACTATCTAAGCCTCTGTTTTATATCCATTATCTGGAGTAAGGTTTGGTAACATAGGATATGGTATAAATTATCAGCCAGATAGATACATTACTTTCTCTAATTCTTCGTCAATTTATCCCTTTCTGCACCCATTGTATAAAAAAAATTTAATCAACGTGTGGTTCGTTTGATCTCAGTTCTTCAATGGTTAAAATCCGATTATGACGTCGAATTTTCTTGCTTTCCTCTGAATTTCCTATCATGAAAAAAGGCGACCATGCCTGATGACGTCACATAGAAAGAACACATCTTTTTACAGATCATTAGAAAAGAAGGAATAAATTTGCCTGCATATTGTTTGAAAATCATTAGAGAAACAGATTCCACCACCAAATCTCGTGTAATACGATATTTATCCACTCTCTACAGTTAAATTTTAAATATTTAAAACGCTCGGCAAGCCTCGCGTTTTAAATTTGAAAATTTAACTGTCTCGAGTGGATAAATATCGTATCACACTCGATGCAGTGGTAGAATCTATATTTATAGATTGGTAACCGTTAGGTATCATACTAAAGTACTGGTGAGCTTAGAATGGACCATTGTGAATTTTGTACAGTATCAACTTTACTAATAACTATTTCTAGGCATCTCAATAAATACTAAATACTATATATAGCCGATAGCCCAGCAATACTGGTGGACCCCATATTTTATTAATTTAAATATAATTGATAAACACAATATACATAAAGCATCAGTATCAATGCACAATAAATTCACTTTCATTAAAGAGTTCAATAGAATAATTAGTAAATTGTGTTCAAAAATATTTTGCTCTGTCATCAACGATCCCGCCGGCCAGGAAAAACCAACAAAAACGAGTCACCTCGGTCAAACTCCATTTAAACTGCAGTCAAAAGACTACATTTTAAATAAAGTGGAAAATGTGGGAAACCTGTGTCCAAACCCAAATGTTCGGAAGACCGTCTCGAGAGTTATACTTGGACTGTATATAAAGTAAATATACTATCTATATGTAATAAGTAATAATTTAAGTTACTCTTTAGTAAAATATCTAATTCCTACTAAATACAAATTAGAATAACAATACAATTGAAAATGAACTTTATTTCACTGTTGTCCAGTCTGATGCTTGGCTAGAAGTGACCAACAAGGGAAAATATTCCCGCTAAATATCAATATCACGTGATATGTATATATACGTGTACATACGAAGTACCCGTATCAATAGTATTCACTAGTACCGTTATTACAGTAATTTCCCACTATACTATCGAACCGTTGGAAATTATAATTATTTTACCCAAGGAAACAAAATTTCTATTCATTCTTTTAAAGCATCAACAGATGTCAGGATGAATTTTTGATGATACTAAGGGAATTCTGGACTGTTATAAATATTTTAAAAAGCAATTGGATCAAGATGCGCAATTCATTTCCCATAGGCGACAATGGTAGCCTTTTCTTCCATTCCTCTGTCCATATCGTAAACTTGGATATGTATGATGGCTCGTTTCGAAGCTGAGACATTTTCACACATGTAGTTAAATTTTCAGGGTATGAAGTGCGATTAAATTTTTCAAAAATTGGACAGCCCCCCAAAGGCCCCATGTGATGCCACTTGAGCAAGTGAAAAGTCCTTATTTTCACACAGTTAAATTCTCTGGAAATTCAGTTCTGTACAAACATTTAATAACTCCAAAGTTTTTACATCTTTATTGTACAGTCTTCTGCTCTTCAAAAAAGCACAAATAATTAAGCTCAGTCAATTACTAAAAATACCATCATGTCCAATTTCATTGCATAGAGGTTTTTTTACTTCTATTTTCAGTTGAGTACCTCACTCTGAGGCGCATTAGGGATATTGACCCAGCTACCAATGAGCATTTTAAAAAATAACCACCAAAATAACAGATGTTCATAGCTACTTAGTAACAGAGCCCTTTTAACTAAAAAGAAAAAGATTTATAATAATAATTTTGTCCGATTAAATATAGACCTGGATACTTCATATATCTTGATACAGATGTCTTCTGTTCTGAAGTTTGATGTTGTCTGGCAGGGTTCATCAGACTTTGATCTCATTTTTATGGTTCATTGGTCAATGTTATTTTTTATACGACCGCAAAAATTGAAAATTTTTTGGTCGTATATTGGTATGACGTTGGCGTCGTCCGGCGTCGTCCGAAGACACATTGGTTTTCGCACTCTAACTTTAGTTTAAGTGAATGGATCTCCATGAAATTTTACCATAAGGTTCAATACCACGAAAGGAAGGTGGGGATTGATTTTGGGGGTTATGGTACCAACAGTTAAGGAATTAGGGGCCAAAAAGGGGCCAAAAATAAGCATTTTTGTAACTTCCAGACAATAACTTGTGTGTAAGTGTATGGATCTCTCTGACATTGTACCACAAGGTTCCATATCACAAAGGGAAGGCTGTAATTGATTTTGGGGGTAATTGCCTCAAAATTTTAGGAATTAGGGGCCAAAAAAGGGGCAAAAAACAAGCATTTTTCTAGTTTCATGACAATAACTTGTGTGTTAGTGTTTGGATATTTCTGAAATTGTACTACAAGGTTCCATATCACAAAGGGAAAGCTGGAATTGAGTTTGGGGGTAATTGCCCGAAACGTTTAGGAATTGGAGGCCAAAAAGGGGCCAAAAATAAGCATTTTTCTAGTTTCCAGACAATAACTTGTGTTCAAGTGTATGGATCTCTCTGAAATTGTACTGCAAGGTACCATACCACAAAGGGAAGGCTGGGATTGAGTTTGGGGGTGATGAATCATAAGGGGGTTCAAAAAATTTGGGGGGGGGAATTTTTTTTTTTTCTTTTTTTCCTTTTTTTTTTCTTTTAAAATTTTCCATTTTAAGTTGGTTATTTCTGATTAATATTTAAAAGCAAATAATAATGATATGGTAGGAGATACACACCAAACAGGATGTGTAAATTATTATATAATAAGTATTGTGCAATAGCAAGAAATTTTCAATTGCACAGTATTGCACAATTGCAAGAAATCTTCAATTGCACAGTATTGCGCAATAGCAAGAAATCTTCAATTGCACAGTATTGCGCAATAGCAAGAAATATCCAATAGCACAATATTGCGCAATAGCAAGAAATTGTCAATTGTACAGTATTGCACAATAGCAAGAAATATTCAATTGCACAGTATTGTGCAAAAGAAGATACTTCGTATAAATTGCTTATTTCTTGATCAATTTCAATGGGGTTTTATTCTTGAATTCTTGGGGTTCTTTAATATGCTGAATCTAACTGTGTATTAAGTTTTTGGATTTTGGGCCCCGTTTTTAAATTGGTCCACATTGAGGTCCAAAGGGTCCAAAATTTAACTTTGTTTGATTTCATCAAAAATTGAATTATTGGGGTTCTTTGATATGCCGAATCTAACCGTGTATTTAGATTCTTAATTTTTGGTTCCGTTTTCAAATTGGTCTACATTAAGGTCAAAAGGGTCCAAAATTAAACTAAGTTTGATTTTAACAAAAATTGAATTTTTAGGGTACTTTGATATGCTGAATCTAAACATGTATTTAGATTTTTGATTATGGGCCCAGTTTTCAAGTTGGTCCAAATCAGGGTCCAAAATTAAACTTTGTTTGATTTCAACAAAAATTGAATATATGGGGTTCTTTGATATGCTGAATCTAACCATGTATTTAGATTTTTGATTTTTGGGCCCCGTTATCAACTTTGTACACATTGAGGTCAAAAGGGTCCAAAATTAAACTTTGTTTGATTTCATCAAAAATTGAATTCTTGGAGTTCTTTGATATGCTGAATCTAACCATGTATTTAGATTTTTTATTTGTGGACCCGCTATCAAATTGGTTCATATTGAGGTCAAAAGGGTCCAAAATTAAACTTTGTTTGATTTCATCAAAAATTGAATTATTGGGGTTCTTTGATATGCCAAATCTAACCGTGTATTTAGATTTTTAATTATGGGTCCCGTTTTTAAATTGGTCTACATTAAGGTCCAAAGGATCCAAAATTAAACTTAGTTTGATTTTAACAAAAATTGAATTCTTGGGGTTCTTTGATATGCTGAATCTAAACATGTGTTTAGATTTTTGATTATGGGCCCAGTTTTCAAGTTGGTCCAAGTTGGGGTCCAAAATTAAACTTTGTTTGATTTCAACAAAAATTGAATATATGGGGTTCTTTGATATGCTGAATCTAAACATGTATTTAGATTTTAAATTTTTGGCCCAGTTTTCAAGTTGGTCCAAATTGGGGTCCAAAATTAAACTTTGTTTGATTTCAACAAAAATTGAATATATGGGGTTCTTTGATATGCTGAATCTTACCATGTATTTAGATTTTTTATTTGTGGGCCCGCTATCAAATTGGTTCATATTGAGGTCAAAAGGGTCCAAAATTAAACTTTGTTTGATTTCATCAAAAATTGAATTATTGGGGTTCTTTGATATGCCAAATCTAACCGTGTATTCTACATTAAGGTCCAAAGGGTCCAAAATTAAACTTAGTTTGATTTTAACAAAAATTGAATTCTTGGGGTACTTTGATATGCTGAATCTAAACATGTGTTTAGATTTTTGATTATGGGCCCAGTTTTCAAGTTTGTTCAAGTTGGGGTCCAAAATTAAACTTTGTTTGATTTCAACAAAAATTGAATATATGGGGTTCTTTGATATGCTGAATCTAACCATGTATTTTGATTTTGGACATTGGACCATAATAGGTAAATTAAAAAAATTGAAGTTCTTAGACCACATTCTTTCTGTGTCAGAACCTATGCTGTGTCAAATATTTAATCACAATCCAAATTCAGAGCTGTATCAAGCTTGAATGTTGTGTCCATACTTGCCCCAACTGTTCAGGGTTCGACCTCTGCGGTCGTATCAAGCTGCGCCCAGCGAAGCATTTTATTCATGGTTAGATCTATTTATAAGATACTATAAGCAATAAGTCAAATATATTTGTTGTATGGAATGACTCTTAAGGTGTACATATCCGTCTGGCAGGGCTCATCTGACATTGACCTCATTTCCATTGTGAATGGAACGATTGTTAGTTGGGGTCTCTGAAGGTATATACAGACCTGCTGCAGATATAGGTCACTTTGTTGGTATGTCAAATCTATCAATGAGGTGCAAGTTCACAGAGTTAATACAACAAGGGGTCACACATTTTCATCTTCTGATAAGATGTCTATAAACATCTTTATCTACTAAAACATTTATGGACAAGTTGAATAATCCTTTTGCATCATATTTACCAGATGTCACAGATCGACTTATGTTCTATAGGTACGAAAAATATAAATGTCAGTTATGATTTTGTTATGAAATATATGTACCAGGTAAGGAGGATCTCAAAGTTTGAATAAATGTATGGTGTGTGTTTCAATAGCCACGTCTGTACCCAATTTGTATGTGGAGGTACCCAGATGAGAACAATATATCATAATTGTATGTAAGAAAAGATTTATTTGATTGGTTTTTCTTACATGTGTTTGACACAGATATTAATAATGGTCAATTGTTATTTATATTTTTAGCACTGTAAGGACTCTGTAGGTTTACCTGTTGGTGTACAGTTTGTTGGTTTGCCATATCAAGAAGAATTGGTGTTACAATTGATGAAAGCTGTGGAAACTAGTCTAAAAACTGGAAAACCTTAATTGACTAGCTTTATTTAGCTGATACTAAGAATATTTGCTCAAATTGTTATCAACTTCTGTCCTTACTTTCTCAAATAATAGCACAACTTAACATATCAAAAGTCCTTATTAAGCTATACAAGAATTACTGCTCATAAGCCCTCAGTAAACCATACATGGATGACGGCTTACAAGTTATGCAACTGTTTCTGAAATAATGACTTATTTTTATCTTTTTGAAGGTCTCAGAAGTTGCACTTATTTCTTTGAATGCATAAGACTGCAAAAGAAATGTTATATTTACTTAGTATACACTAATTTATAATTCCTGTGTTATATTACACTGCTTATCCTGAAGGCTTAACCCTTTTACAATACCAATTGCTTAATCATTATACCAAATTGCAGTTTGAATACAACTTTTCAAACACATCAACTGATAAAACAGTTTAACTCATAGCTAATGAAAGGTTTTTAGTTTGAATCAATTGCAGTGTATTAAAAAGTATGCTTACAATTTCACATCTATCATTCAAATTATCTAGATGTATGTTTTTAAACATATATCAATTTATGAAGTCATATAAAAGTAAGGTAATCATTTTTGAATTGCTATATAATTGTCAAGTCTAAAGTTTTTGCACTTTTCCCTTTAAATTGTTTATATATTTCACAAACAGACATCAAATCAAGTTGAATTAAAACATGGTATATACATCAAAATATATGTGAAGTAAATATTTGCTGTCAATAAGATTCCATGGGAGATAATCTGATATCTATGGAATATCTATAGTGATTTGACTCTTTGTCTCCCTTTAAAACTTCAAGAAAACATATTCAAGATAAATAAATATGTTTCCTTGAGTGGTTTAAATATTGACTGAAAGACAACTCTGTAACATCTAAAGACAATTTAAATTTTAAAAGAGATAATTTGAAAACTTTAAACTGGACGTTGTCTCATTGGCACTCATACCACATCTTCTTATATCTAATTATTACAGCAATTAAAAAACTACTATATTACCTTTGATATGCCTTTACAATTGATATACTTTCTAAGATCTATATTAATGTAATGACAGATGAGGTATTGATATACTTTCTAAGATCTATATTAATGTAATGACAGATGAGGTATTGAAAAGTATAATTTTTTAATACATTGCACTTGCTTCAAACTAACAATATTTCTCAAGCTATAGGCTAAACTATTTTACCAGTTGATCAGTTTGTAGAGATGAATTCAAACTGCAACTTTGGTAAAACGGTCTTGCAATTGGTATTATAAAAGGGCAAGGCCTTTAGGATAAGCACTGTAACTAATGTAAAAATGATAAAATGGCAGATAGCAATTGTAAAGTTGTTTTTGAGTATTGAGATTTTGATTTGTTTTAATAATTACAAAAATTGAAACAAGATGAGGATATTCAGTAATTTGATCTTTTTTGAAAGTAGAAATTTATGATAATATAGATCCAGTTAACTTTATTAATAATTAATGAAGGTAGAATAATACTGACAAGCAATGATAACCTTAAAATTATTTGGGAGATAGCATACTATGTTGCTAAATCTGAAACTTAAGATCAAGAACTATCAATGACATGTGTAAAAATGTGGACATTTATTTCTGAAATAATAAGGATATCACTTTTCTTCTACATCTATCTCCAGAAAAACATACTGTATGAATATTTATTGCTATAGAAATATTATTCATTTTGACATCTTTTGACTTTATATTATTGGTGATTTTTTACATCGTTTGACTTTATATTATTGGTGATTTTTTACATCGTTTGACTTTATATTACTGGTGATTTTTTTACATCTATTGTGTTTATATAACTGGTGATTTTTATACTATTGTTGATTGTAATGTAACATCTATTAATTTTGATGTTTTAGTGCCATAAAAAAGTCCCAAAATATTGTGATTTGTTTACGCAATTATTTTTCATTAATTATAAATTATATTGAGAATAATATGTTGTTAATCTCATTTTTAGCTCATCTAGCCTAAAGGCCAAGTGAGCTTTTCTCATCACTTGGCGTCCATCGTTGTCGTCCTCTGTTAAATTTTACAAAAATCTACTCCTCTGAAACTACAGGGTCAAATTTAACCAAACTTAGCCACAATCATTATTGGGGTATCTAGTTTAAAAAATGTGTCCAATAATCCAGCCTGTCAACAAAGATGGCTGACATGTCTAAAAATAGAACATAGGGGTAAAATGAAAATTTTTGTCTATTATTTTGAAAAGAATAATAGATACAGAGAAATTTTCATTTGGAAGAATGATTAGCAAGACAAGATCTACAAATAATTAACATGGCTGAAATCATCGAATGACTCTTTATTTGAGTTATTGCTCTCTAATGACGATTTTAACTTTTGTGAGTTTTGCCTTATATCCTTTATAGATGAAAAGAAACTTTAAAAGGCTAAAATGATCAACAAGTCAAGATCTACAAATTAGTCAAACATGAACGAAACCGTCAGTTGACTCCTTGTTGAAGTTATTGCCCTTTAATGACGATTTTTCCCAACTTTTTGCATTTTTGACTGATTTTTAAAACTATAATAGATAGATAGAAACTCTATAGCAAAAGTGATCAGCAAGACAAGATCCACGAATAAGCCATATTGGCTGAAATCTTTAGTCGACTGGTTAATGGAGTTTTTTCCTGTTTAGGCCCAAAAAAAATATATGTCTGTTTAAGGTTACATACTTTAAAAAAATAGGGTAGGTAGGTCGGTATTTCCATTTTATTTTTTGTGACATGATTTTGAGTCATGCCGTTTCGACTTGTCGTTGTCCGAGTTGATCATGGGCCGAGTTTACCCGTATTTTTGATGATTGGATTATTTCCCTTGGAAAAAAATGGCGGCAAAGTGTTTATTTCATCACACGAGTTGCGAATTTCCTTAAAACAGTTGTCATATTCACGATTGTGAACATTGGGATGTATCAGGCAATTGATTTATATCATTTGCAACACTAACTTCGCTTTTGACACGAGTTCAGTTTATTTTTCGACTTAGGGTCGGTGTTCAAAAGTAGGGTAGGTCGGGTAACCGTAAACAGACATATATTTTTTTATGGCCTTAAGATGTTTTTACCATTTTTTGGAGTTTTTGCCTATTATCTTGAAAAGTGTAAAAGATACAAAAGTAGATAGAAACTTTTAAAAGCAAAAATGATCAGCAGGACAATTTCTACAAATAATTGTCAACATGACTGAAATTGTCAGTTAACTCTTTATCGAGTTATTGCCCTTTCATGATGATTTTTTTACTAAAAATGGCTTGAAGATGCAGGTGAGCGACATAGGCTCTTCAGAGTTATGAATATTAGTGAATTTTGAAAATCTATAAACTTCAGTATTTAAGTATACAGATACTAGTGGGCACGGAGATTGATTAAGTAATTAGAATGATCTCATTTGCATGTACATAGACTGGGTCCAACTTATAATCATATCAGAGAGGAAAAGATATACTCGGCTATTTAGGATTTCATTGGTTAAAGAATATTTCTATAATCATCTTAGCTTCAGCCTTTGCAATGTTTTGTCCCCTACCACATTGTGACTAAATATTAATCTACATTGCTCCATTACGCTAACTTTGCAAACACTCTTCCTCTGAGACTATTTGCATGAGAACTTTCATACTTGGTAGGTTTGTTTGTCATTATTGGTAGTTAACTATATTTTACCACCACAATTGGACTTGAAATTTTTTGCCAAAGTTATGGGACTTTTTTTTATCATTTTCAACCTATTGTAGCATAAAGACACCTTATGAATGCTACTTATCTGGGCAATATGTCATAAAGCTTTCATACATATTGACAATATCCTTCCATTATGTGTAGTTGACCAATTTGAATTAACAACTTTTGCAAGAGTTTAGTTACATTGAATTTTCTTTTTTGTTGTTGTTAGCATAATGACAACTTGTAAATGTTACTGCTCTGATACCATAAGTCTGAAACTTATTTTAGTTATCGATTGATTGTCATTATGGGAAGTCAGTCCATTTACATTGCCAGTTTTATTTGAAATTTTTGCTAGAGATATGGCCCTTTGTCAAAATTTGACTTTTAAAGTATCTTGACACTTTGAGATCAATACTCCTCCCAGACCATTTGCCAAACATTTTTGTTCCTTTGTAGGATTTTTTGGGCCTATTGTAACACAATGACACTTTATGAAATATTTCCCTCCGAGTCCATTTGCCCATGCATAATATCTGAAATTGTTAGTCATCATGTCAAGTTGACCTCATTGAGTTCACAATTTTTGTGGGAATTATTGGTCTCGACAATTTTCAGCCTATTGTAGCTTAATTAAAAATTGCCTTTTGTTTGCTTATATGCCTTAAGTTGTCTAATACCAATTTAGTCACCATTCAGTGCATTTTAAAATCAAGTATTTAGCCAAAATCTAAACAATAGTTCATTAATTCTCAAAATGACCACATTCTAATAGAAATGGGAACCATAAGGGGGTAATTACAAAAGCTCCAAACTGTGATGATCATGTAATGTGTGTCATTGTAGCAATATACTTGTGTATTTGTGAATTATAAGCAATGGAGACATTTTGCTAATATTAAGTATTATTTTAGATTTTGTTTCAGAATTTTTTTTTCACATTTGCGTGCAGGTTTTTGATTATATCTTCCCGCATTCATTTTACAGGTAACACAGCTGAAAATAAAGATAATTGGAAACTTATATTTCAACCCATGCTCACTTCAATGAGCAATTTTATTCAGCATATCTATGTATTTATGTGTTTCTTGACACTATTATAAAATTTCAAATCACCACATATATCAAACTAATAGGGCTTGATACACCAGCAGTAGTTCAGCAAGTACCAACATGTAAAATCAGAACTTTTATTTTTTAGCTTGTATGTTTTTACATTTTTATCTGTATATATATTTCCAGGACTGAGTGTTTGTGCATAATAAATTTGACATATCCTTCTTTCAATCTCATTTACACCTCCTCATTGGTGAGCAGGGGACTTTAACTAATGGAAAAGTACTTATAAATAGTTAAATAGATAAATTATAGTTAAATAAAAAATTATATAAGTATAATCTTCATGTATTTACCTGGGTTTACCTGTAAAATAAATGCATGCAAATGTTATCAAAAGCTGTGCACAAATGTAATGCACTGGTGGGGTAAGTGAATGTGCTTACAAAGGTTCTTTAATTGTTTGCTGTATTTAATTTGAATAAACTTGTTTCATCTCTACAAAGAAGACTTGTTTTCTTTTAAGCGAGTGAATGAAACGTTTAATTTTTTGTATAAAATGACTTGCAAACATTTTAAAAAGTCATTGTAAAACGCCAAAGTTTATTTGACACTTCCAACTAATGTCGACTTACATGTACTCCACTTGAGTTAAATTTTGACGCTTAAATTTATGTTTTCTTTACAATATTTAAGCATTATTGAAGTATGTACAGTGAACTGTCATTGATCACATTTTTGTCCTTGGTCTGTGATGGACAGTTATGTCATTGGCAATCATACCACATCTTCTTAGTTTTATATTGTGTGTAAGTGTTTTGGTGCACATATCATCTAATACCATTAAAAGTGGTCTTTTCTTCACCTTTTTCAGAATGGATGTATATTTTACTTCTGCAACAGTTTTAATGACATTGGGTTTGTGCAAACTTTTAAAACATAGTTTACCCTTACCATTGACCTTTACTATACACACCACAGAGATCATGCAGAATCTTTATTTATTTATTTTTTTATACGACGGCAAAAAAAATTTTGCGTCGTATAATGCTATGATGTTGTCATCGTCCGAAGACACATTTGGTTTCCAGACAATAACTTTATTTTTATTGAATGGATCTCTATGAATTTTTACCAGAAGGTTCAATGCCACAAAAGGAAGGTTGGGATTGATTTTGAGGATGATGGTACCAACAGTTTAGGAATTAGGGTCCAAAAACAAGCATTTTTGTAGTTTCCGGACAATAATTTGTGTGTAAATGTATGGATCTCTCTGAAATTGTACCACAAGGTTCCATATCACAAAGGGAAGGCTGGGATTGAGTTTGGGGTTAATTGCCCCAAACATTCAAGAAACGGGGGAAAAAAGGGGCCAAAAAGAAGCATTTTTCTAGTTTCCAGACAATAACTTGTGTTTAAGTGTATGGATCTGTCTAAAATTGTACTATACAAGGTTCCATACCATAAAGGGAAGGCTGGGATTGAGTTTGGGGGTAATTACTCCAAAAAGGGGGGGGTTCAAAAGTTGGGGATTTTTTTTTTCCAATTTTTTTGGGGGGGGGTCATTTTTTTTCTTCAAAAGTTTTGAAATTTTAAATTTTTGAAATCTTCAATTGCACAGTATTGCGCAATAGCACAGTATTGTACAATAGCAAAGTACTGAGCAAAAGCAAGAAATCTTCAATTAAACAGTATTGCACAATAGCAAGAAATCTTCAATTGCACAGTATTGCGCAATAGCACAGTATTGTGCAATATCACAGTATTGCGCAATAGATCGAAATTTTCAATTGCACAATAGCACAGTATTGCGCAATAGCAAGAAATCTTCAACTGCACAGTATTGTGCAATAGCAAGAAATCTTCAACTGCACAGTATTGCGCAATAGCAAGAAATCTTCAATTGCACATTATTGCGTAATAGCAAACAATCTTCAATTGCACATTATTGGGCAATAGCAAGAAATCTTTAATTGCACAGTATTGCACAATAGCAAGAAATTTTCAATTGCACAGTATTGAGCAATAGCAAGAAATCTTCAATTGAAAACAAATACAAATGTTTTAACCAATTTCGATGGGATTAATTAAGTCTTTAATTTTTGGGGGTTGTAACCTTGTATAGTTTTTTGGGATATTGGGCCCCATTTTTAAATTGGTCTACATTGAGGTCAAAAGGGTCCAAAATTAAACTTTGTTTGATTTCATCAAAAACTGAATTATTGCGGCTGTATGATTTGCTGAATCTTATTGTGCATTTAGATTTTTATTTTGGGCCCTGTTTTTAAATTAGTTCATATTAAGGTTTGAAGGATCCAAAATTAAACTTTGTTTGATTTCAACAAAAATTAAATTATTGGTGTTTTTTTTATATGCTGAATCTAACCATGTTGTTAGATTTTGGATATCAGACCATTCTAGGTAAATTAAATGTCCCGTTTCAGTTATTTTGTGTCAGAAACCTATATTATGTCAAAAATTTGATCACAATCCAAATTCAGACAGTATCAAGCTGGAATATTGTGTCCAAACTTACCCCAACTGTTCAGGGTTCGACCTCTGCGGTCGTATCAGGCTGCGCTTAGCGAAGCTTTTTATATTATGTTTATTTTAATGCAACATCTCTTTCTCTTTGAGAAAAAATTATTTGCATAATGGACTAGAAAGATCTATAACTGGTATTTTCCACTTGGATAATGCTGAAGTTCCATGCAACTTTCTGCTACATTGTTGCATGAGTGTATTCACTTCAATCTTTTCTTGTGTTATTACTAGCTATGGAAAGATGAAATTATTTAAATAAAGTGTCTTGTTTTGATGATTTTCATAAGGCTGTATAAAATTCTAAATCAAGTGTGTTTATGCAAAAGAATTCTGGAACACTCTAAACCAACCACATTATCTAATGGCTTCTTTGTTGGTTAATTCCAACCACCTGAACTAATGGCCTTTCTGTTGGTTAATTTCTATCACCTGAACTAATGGCCTTTTTGTTGGTTAATTTCTACCACCTGAACTAATGGCCACTTTGTTGGTTAATTTCTACTACCTGAACTAATGGCTTTTTTGTTGGTTAATTTCTACCACCTGAACTAATGGCCTCTTTGTTGTTAATTTCTACCACCTAAACTAATGGCCTCTTTGATGTTAATTTCTACTACCTGAACTAATGGCCTCTTTGTTGTTAATTTCTACTTCATAAACTAATGGCCCCTTTGTTGGTTAATTTCTAACACCTAAACTAATGGCCTCTTTGTTGTTAATTTCTACTACATAAACTAATGGCACCTTTGTTGGTTAATTTCCAGCCACCTAAACTAATGGCCTCTTTGTTGTTAGTTTCTATTACATCAACTAATGGCCCCTTTGTTGGTTAATTTCTACCACCTGAACAAATGGCCTCTTTGTTGGTTAATTTCTACTACCTGAACTAATGGCCTTTTTGTTTTTAATTTCTACCACCTGAACTAATGTCTTCTTTGTTGGTTAATTTCTACTACCTAAACTAATGGCCTCTTTGTTGTTAATTTTTTACTACCTAAACTAATGGCCCCTTTGTTGTAAATTTCCAGCCACCTAAACTAAGGCCTATTTGTTGTTAATTTCTACCACCTGAACTAATGGCCCCTTTGTTGTTTATTTCTACTACCTAAACTGATGGCATCTTTGTTGTTAATTTCTACTACATAACTAATGGCATCTTTGATGTTAATTTCTACTACATAACTAATGGCCTCTTTGATGTTAATTTCTACTACCTAAACTAATGGCCTCTTTGTTGGTTAATTTCTACCACATGAGCTAATGGCCCCTTTGTTGTTTATTTCTACTACCTAAACTGATGGCATCTTTGTTGTTAATTTCTACTACATAACTAATGGCATCTGTGTTGGTTAATTTCTAATACCTAAACTAATGGCCTCTTTGTTGTTAATTTCTACTACATAAACTAATGGCACCTTTGTTGGTTAATTTCTACCACCTAAACCAATGGCCTCTGTGTTGTTAATTTCTACCACCTGAGCTAATGGCCCCTTTGTTGTTTATTTCTACCACTAAACTAATGGCATCTTTGTTGTTAATTTCTACTACATAACGAACAGCATCTTTGTTGGTTAATTTCTACCACATAAACTAATGGCCTCTTTGATGTTAATTCTACTACCTACACCAATGGCCTCTTTGTTGTTAATTTCTATTTCATAAACTAATGGCCCCTTTGTTGGTTAATTTCTAACACATAAACTAATGGCCTCTTTGTTGTTAATTTCTACTACATAAACTAATGGCACCTTTGTTGGTTAATTTCTACCACCTAAACTAATGGCCTCTGTGTTGTTAATTATACCCCACGCAACGAGTTGCGGAGGGTATAATGTTTTTGACACGTCCGTCCGTCTGTCCGTCCGTCCGTCAGTCCGTCAGTCCCGTTTCTTGTCATCGCAACTCCTCTCAAACCACACAACAGAATTTCACGAAACCTTTTTAGATAATAAGGACATACTATGTAGTTGTGCATATCGACAGGAAATTACGATTCAATTATTTTTCTAGGAGTTACGCCCCTTTGAACTTATTTACTTTAATGTACTACTGCAACAGTTTGTCATCGCAACTCCTCTCAAACCACACAACAGAATTTCATGAAACCTTTTCAGATAATAAGGTCATACTACGTAGATGTGCATATCGACAGGAAATTACGATTCAATTTTTTTTCCAGGAGTTACGCCCCTTTGAACTTATTTGCCCAATATACTACTGCAACCTTTTGTCATCGCAACTCCTCTCAAACCACACAACAGAATTTCATGAAACTGTGTAGATAATAAGGACATACTACGTAGATGTGCATATCGACAGGAAATTACGATTCAATTTTTGTCCAGGAGTTACGCCCCTTTGAACTTATTTGCCCAATATACTACTGCAACCTTTTGTCATCGCAACTCCTCTCAAACCACACAACAGAATTTCATGAAACTGTGTAGATAATAAGGACATACTATGTAGATGTGCATATTGACAGGAAGTTATGATTCAATTTTTTTTTCTGATACAATTTTTTTTTCTTACACTTATTTTATTTCTCCAATGACAATGTGGGGACGTAGGGTATATGAGTGCACTCACTAAGGTTCTTTCATTTCTACTACATAACTAATGGCATCTTTGTTGGTTAATTTCTACCACATAAACTAATGGCCTCTTTGTTGGTTAATTTCTACCACATAAACTAATGGCCTCTTTGTTGTTAATTTCTACCACCTAAATTAATGGCCTCTTTGTTGTTAATTTCTACCACCTAAACTAATGGCATCTTTGTTGTTAATTTCTACCACCTAAATTAATGGCCTCTTTGTTGTTAATTTCTACCACCTAAACTAATGGCCTCTTTGTTGTTAATTTCTACCATCTAACCTAATGGCCTCTTTGTTGGTTAATTTCTACCTCATAAACTAATGGCCTCTTTGTTGGTTAAGTTCTACCACATAAACTAA